GTCACTGGTTGCATGATGGTGAACCTCTCTGAGCTTCACTTTCATGACCTGTAATGAAAGAGTAAGACTATCTCTAGCCTTGTGGGATTGTACAATGATAAGAAGAGGTCATGTATGTAATGAGCTTGGCTGAGGGTTTTACATTCCTGGGTGCGCAGTCAGTGATAGCCGTTGCTGCCATCATCCCCATCCCAGTAGAGATAATTTATTGTAAGTAATCCAGTACTCACGTGACTGCCCTCAGCCTCTCTGGACTTGACAGTACTAACCTTGCAGGTATTAGAGATGGGCTATATCAAGTTTGTGGCACACAGTAGGACCCAGCATTTGATAACAATAACAAAGCATTGGCCACAGATACTGAATGAGCCAGAACTGTGCCTGCCATGTAGGGCGATGGGAGGTGAGTGGGTGTGGCCTGTGCCAGGACTGCAGACTAGCTCAGGTTGAGCTGGGGCCGTTGAGCACCACTTGCTCAGGTAGAAGGAAGAGGGAAGGATTCTCCAGGCAGGAATGGGCAGAGTGAGGAGACCTGGCTGGCATAGAATACCTTTCCTTTCTTCTTCGTCTGGTTTGTCAGTCCTTGAATCTTCACAGGGGACTTTGCCAAGAACCATTCTGCCGAGGCAAGAGGCCCCTCAGCTGGGCAGGCTGGTGGTTCATTTATTCTTCGGCCTTGCTCTTCTCTAGGGGAGGGCAGCCTGGGGATTGCAGAGTGTGTGCTCCGAGCTGCCGGGCCCTCTGTTGTTCATCTAGAGCAGAGCATGAAAGGTGGCCAGATACCTTTCCCCTCCCAGGGGGACTGACCTATTTAACTCTGGGGAAAAGCAGAAACCGACTCCTGTCTTCCTTCTCTCCAGCCATTTTCTCCCTCAAATGCTAGGAGCGAATTCAAGCGAGCGAACCTGTCTTAGGGCTCCCTAGAGACTCCGAGTCGCTTTCTCTTCACCCTTTTGTGCAAGTCTGTGGACTGTGTCCAGGGTGGGTCCTGGCTTTGGAGCTCACTGTCCTCCTGAGGCTGAGGGTCAGTGCTCCGGACTCGGCGACTGTCAGCACAGGCTGAGCCGGGCTTCCAGGACAGGGCTTCTGCCACTGACCTGGCTCGGACCAGACTCTCCAAGAATATCAGTGGCCTGGCCCCGGTTCTCGCTGCTCGTCTGGTTGTTTAGGTGAATGAAGTGAATGGGCCGGGATCCTCCAGTGGGATTGCAACAGAGGGGCTGTATCCAACATTAGGACCAAGGTCCAACCAAGTCGCTATATGTTGTCATTCCTCTGCCCACCCGAGTCTTCGATTGAGTTTTAATGTGTGTGTTTAGCATTAAAATAGAGGGGAATGCTATTCCTTATTTCCTGGTGAGATAAGAGTTTGGGATCAGAATAAAATGATAACCAGTGCACAATTGCTTAGTATGAGGTTACCTTCCAAGTTCTTGAGAAGAAAACGGATGAGAGAAAAGTATCCTGGTCTGAGATGTGTTCTCTTCCCACTTGCAGTGGAAATAAGAATCTGCTCAAAGCAGACAGAGAGCATTGCTGTGATCTGCTGAAAATGAGGGCACGTAATCCCTGCAAATAGAAGGCTTAGCCCCTAATGCAGTTAGGGATTGCATTTGGTTGCTAGTCATAGAACCACCCGATTCAGGATGGTGCACTCAAATTGGGCGTTAGTTTTCTCACAGAACAGGAATCCAGGCCGGTACACCAGCTCCATGATGCCATCAGGGGCCCGGCTCTTGCTTTCTACCCAGGTTTCAGCAGGTGGCTGTCATTCACATTGTTGTCACCTGGCTCTCCAGCACAGAGGCCACATTCCAGACAGGAGGAAGGGAAGGGTAGCTAAGCCAGCTATGGTGCTTCTTTTAAAGACGTGAAGATGTCTGCGTACGCCTTATTAGCTGGATCTGTGTTAGTTACATGATCACCCTCAGTTCCAAGGAAGGTTGGGAAATGTATTTTTTTTTTTACTGGGTACATTGCTGCTTTGAAAAATAAATGGGGTAAGGCAGGAGGGGAGAATAGATGTTGGGAGGCAACCATTTGCATGTGAAGGCACACTGTGGGCCAGACATGCGCTGTGCTTATTCTGTGCATTGTCCCCTTTAATCCTCACAACAACCAAGGAAGGCAGGGGCTGACGTCCCCATTTTGCATAGAAGGAACCTGAAACCAGAGAGGTCAGGGACTTGCCCAGGGGCACCCAGCGTATACTGGGGTGAAGCCAGCACTTGAGTCCAGGCCTGACTAGCTCGAAATCCTACGCCCTCTGCATTTGTTGTGCTCGGGAAGTGATATATATGGTCCAAATGGTCATCAAATGTCAGAAGTTTCCCATGTTTTGAACAATATCTGACTCCAGGTGCTTACAGTGATCGCAGTGGCCTGCACAGGAAAGGCTGTGTCATCTTAGCTACACGTCTGTGCCCTACATGGCCAGCGTCTGAGTGACACAATCATTGACAGCCAAGGGTGCTTCATTTTTCCCATCGCTGTGCTCCATTGAGCATGGCAAATCTATTTTGTGACAGGTCTCCTGATTTGAGAAGTCATGTGTTAAATTGTTGGGAATATAAGGAGACAGGGAGAAAGCCAAAAAAACATTTTTGCCTTCACGCCTATAACTTAGTAAATTCAATGTTGAAGTCGGATAAGGTGGGGGAGTAGGGAGCATTACCTCCCCTTTCTTACCTGTAGCTATAGGTTACACATTTTGGGCACAAAGGCGTTTTCTCTATGGCCCAGCAGCCATGGGACTAGGAGTTGTTCATAACCGCAAGTCTTAGGGCCTAGAATGCTGCCAGACTACCCTTCTTTTAGCTGCTCTCTAAAGCTTTGTTTTGTAGTAAATGTTGGTGTAAATCTCAAGAAAAGGATTTGTCATTCCTTATCAAATTTATCTTCAGAAAGGACTGACTTATACAAGGGTGTGTACCTCATGTGTACCTGTACAGTAGGACTAAGATTGACAGTTATAAGTTAGAAAAGCCTGGCACACTCCACGATTTGAAGTCATTTTATGGGAACAGTTTATTAGATGGGGTGTTAGGATCGTCTGGCTTTGATGGCAGAAGCAGTTTTCTGTACTGCTTTCTCATGCACCCAGGTGCCCATCCAGTGGGTGTATGAGTGCTCAGTAAATGCAAGGTCCTTGACCAGGAAAGTCCATGTTACAGTTGGTTGCCCTCAGACACTGTACCACAGTCCTTGGGTCCTGTAGTTGAGGAAACCCTTTTCCCTTCAGTTCTTATGTCATACATGTAGGTGGTGTATTTACTTCACAATGTAGCTTGTATGATAAAGTACAGTTTATCTTTGGGTGTGAATAGCAAGGAGGTGCAGTTACTTACTGGCAGACCTCACAATTGGAGTAACCAGGTGAGAAAGCTCTTTGGCCAGGGCATGACCCAGAGTGCAGCCAGAGTTTAATCTTAAGGCAGCAGCCTTAGCACATCCTCCTTGGACGGTTTCTCAAATTTGAGGAATAGCAAAGAAGATAAAGGCCAACTTAAGCAATGTGAAGGCTACTGGTTGGGGTTACACTGATGTGGTTATGGAGGATTAAAGGAAGAGGAAAGATGAAATCAAAACCTAGAATGTGTACATTGAGGAACAGAGATGTCACTTCATAAATTTACTGTAAGAATTGCTTTTTCTAAAAGTGTAGAACCTGAATAGTTCCTGTATGTTCCTACTGCTGGAGGTTTTAGGAATGGAAAGGCCCTCAGAGATCATCATCTAAAGATCCATCTAATAAAGAGGGAATATGCTAATTGACCCTCATGCTGTTGCAAAGATGGCGGCGCCCACAGCCAATAAGGAGAAATATGCTAATTGAATGCCATGCCCTCAAAGATGGCGGGGCCCAGTCCCCTCAGCCAGGGCCGCCCGAGGCTCAGGTAACCAGGGCCAGCTGAGGCTTGTGCTGCCGGTAGTGGCAACAGCAGAGGTGTGATGGGGCGTCGCCTCCCCCTGATGGCCGGTCGCCTCCCACCCCTGAGGGCTCCTGGACTGTGAGAGGGGACAGGCCGGGCTGAGGGACCCCTCCCCCCCACACCCAGTGCATGAATTTTCATGCACCGGGCCTCTAGTATCATTATTAAATGATATAATAGGATTCCTTCCACTATAAGTAACAGAGACCAAACTCAAACTAGCTTAATGAGAAAGAGAAGTTATTGGTTCACAAACAAAAAGTCCAAATATTTATCTGGTTTAGGTATGGCTAAATCTAGGATGTAAATGCAGCAGCATTCCCATTGTATGCTTTCATGTTGAAATGAGAGATGTCTGGCTTGGCTATTTGAAGACTGATGGATCTCAAGGCCAGGACTTTTCACCATGGGGCACAAGTAGACTGGCTGCCCCATCCAAGGGCCTCTGGTAATTTTCCTGGTTCTTCTGGGATGGAGTGTGTTCCCTTCCCTGCCTCCCCAGTCTAAATGCTGCAAAGCTTGTGGAGCCGCTGCTGTGTCCCTGGTACCAGATAGTGGGAATGTTCCTTATGCTGCCATTGCTCTTGGGGCTGTCTGTGCTGGCAGCCAGTGGGCTCAGGAGCCTTTCTGTCCAAGCTGGACGGCCTCAGGCAGATGGCAATATGGAAAGGTGTGAGACTATCACTGTATCATTTACTCATTCAGAGCACCTGTTCTGTCACAGTCTCTGCACACAAGTTCTGGGCATATGATGCTTGGCAAGATGGGCCTCTCACCATGTCTACTTGGGCCAGTTGGCCCAGTGTGACCATGGAGTTGGTTAAGGTTCTGATCTAGACTGGGTACATGTGGCTGAGGTGGCTTCCAGGAGGTGGTAACATTTTAGATCTCAAGGGAGTAGAAGTTTAAGGGGGTGGAATGAGGGACTGGGCATACAAGGTGTTCCAGGCAGAGGGAACAGCCTGTGCAAAGGTCTGGAGGTAGTTTGATTGCCAAGGGTGTGCTTTGGGGAGATTGGCTGCCAGCCGTGCTGTCTGGATCGGGCTGAATGTACTGCTGTTGTTGCAGGGACCTGGAGAAGCTGGAGCGGCAGGCAGTCCCCCAGGTCAACCACGCGGAGTCCTGTCGTGAGTGTGGCCACGTGGGACCCGGACATGCGAGGGATTGTCCTCATCGCCGCCATGAGGACTCCTATGGCTACGAGAAGCGGGAGCAAGAGGAAGAACGGTACCGTTCCCACCCATCCGAGGGCAGGAGGGACAGGAGCAAGACCAGGTCCCCGTACTCGCCAGCTGAGGAGGATGCCTTGTTCGTGGACTTACCCAGTGGCCTGAGAGGCCAGCAGGCACAGCCCCAGAGGGCAGAGAAGAATGGCATCGCATACGGCCCAGGAGAGCAGAATGGGACGGGCGGATACCCGCGGGCCTTTCCTCCCAGGACCAACCATGAAAAGCACAGCCAGAGGAAGAGCAGCCTGGCCCAGGTGGAGCACTGGGCAAAGTCCCAGAAGGGGGATGGCAGGAGGTCAGTAATAGATCTGAATCGCTGCTACCTATGAGCAAAATAACGCAATAACAGTCGCTGTCATTTACCCAGCATGCCCTGGGTAATGCTGGCCTTAAACTCTCTACCTCCTTTATCCCAAAAAATCCCATAACAGCTCTGCAAGGAGGGGGAATAGTCCCAATTTATCGATGAGGAGAATGAGGCTGGGAGGAGGGAAGGAACCTGCCCAGGGCACACAGGTAAGTGGCAAAGCCAGAGTTCAAATCCGGGCCTGCAGGCCTCCCGAGCCACACGAGATAGCATGAGGAGGCTTCTTTGTTCCCCGGGGCGCGCTTTAAGACAGTCAGCCCGTAGACAGTAACTCCTCTTCTCCTTTTACCTGCTCCTTCTCTGCATCCGGGAAGTAGTTATAGAAACTAGAGTAAGTGCAGGCCCGTTTTTAACTTCCAGCACATAGAGCGGCGCTTAGGCACTGCTGACTCAGGCTTCACCATGCCCATTCCTTCAAGAAGCAGTTTTCAATGATTTAGAGCACGTGAATCCTTGCTATTTGCAAAGCACTGTCTGTATTTTATAATTTTAGATTAATTAGGGCACATTTATGAACATGAAGAATTCAGGGTCACCCAGCTTCCATTGTCCCCAAAAGCCTCTGTGTTTTGCCTTCAAGACAGCAAATCCCCGTCACTGTCTTCAGGCTTGTGAAACAAACCACCGACTAGAGAGGTGAGAGCAAGGCCTGGGCGCATTCAGAAAGTGCCCTCGTGCCAGAAGGGCCCGGGGAAGTACCAGAGCTCAGGCCGAGTCTGCCACCGGCCTGGTAAACATGAGCTAACTGCCACACCTCATTCTCCCTGTTGGCGAGCCGGCTTTCCACCTGCAGGCTCTGCAGGCAGCAGCGCTCCCAGGGGAATAGCCCAGGCCTGCTTTCCAGCCTGTGGGTGTGGAGTGCATGTGCGGGTTGTGTAACCTCTTTAGTCTGGTCCAGCTGGACAGTTGTGAGGGTAGATGGTGAGAAGTCACAGTGGAACCCCCTAAGCAATTGGTGGACATTGTTGTGGGCCAGACCAGGAGGAGGAGGGCCTTTTGTGTCAGAGCTGAGATGCTTGCCCATCCCCACTGGGACTGACCAGGTGTCAGTTCTGTTTGTTCGCATTTGGTGTCTTATGGAAAACGGAAGCTCTGCTCAAGGACACGGGAGGGGGCTGCCATGCTCGGTGCTGGACAAGGTGGTTGTAAGTGACTTTCCTGCTGAATGAGCTTGGAAAGCTGGGTCCTCAGATTAATGTGCAGGTCCTCATATCAATGTAAGGAATTTGGGTTTTATTTGAAAAAGCAACAGGGGGAACCACTGGAAGGGTTGTTGTTTTTTCATAAGTCTATTTTAATTTTTTAAATTTTCACAGTTTAAATAAAATTCAGCTAGTTAACATAAACACAGAGGAAATGCACATAATTTACAGCCATGTACAGAATACAATAGCAACCCTCATATAAATGGTCAAAAGGTATCAATCAACCCCTGGGGTTGATTGTTAGTTATGACTTTGAAAGGTCAAGATTTAATTGTTCACATATACAGGGGTACACATTCAAAATGTTCGTTAACACAAAAACTGAGTGAAACTAGAATTTTCAGTTTCTAAAAGGAGTAGCATAAAAAGTAGTATATAGCTTAACGAGAAATATAAGGGCATGACAGAGAAGAGATCTGAGTAGGCAGAAAGTTAGTACATTATATGTTTTTATATAATTAAAATTCCTTCCAATTTAACTCATTCAGAACTATGTTCATAGGAATGTTGAAGTCATGATCAATATTAGAGGAAAAAGCTAAACTATTGTATTTATCAGCCCCAAAAGGGCTCCTATATATAGTACTAACAGTCTGGGCAGAAGAGCATGTAAACAACACAAGACAGGCATGACCAATACTGGGAGAGTAAAGGATAGATTGATTTCTAGCATTTAAATCCTTCAAGTTCAAATTAATATTTGTAGTGATTTAACACAAATCTAAAAATACTGACATGTTTATGCTCCAATAAGAGTAAACACTCATTATTTTTAACCCAAACTCTGTTGGTCCTAATATACTAATGCTTTTCTACAATGGGCATTAGGTTTTAGGAGACAAAAGGCTGGATTAAATGATCTAATAATATTCTATTCTTGGCTTCGAAGTTACAAGTCAATTACTTGTGGGCCTCATCCTTAAAGGCTGGGTCCACAGTTACATACATAATAAAAATTAAGACAAGGCTTTGGTGATAGTTTTTTCCCCTAGATTTAAAAGCACTATGGGACCCCACAATCACGGGGTTTGCTAATTCTCAGATTTGGACTTTGAAATTTAGGGGACTGTTTTCTATGAGCCACAAGTACCAGAGTTCTTTCTGCTGCTCTATGAGAGTATGCTGTTTCAGTATCTACTGCTTTAACCTGAGTAAGCTCAGTTAAATTTTGAGAAGATTCTACAATAAAAGTACATACTCATCTGAAGAGTGCCGACTACCTCCAATTTAGAAATAAAATGTTATCTGATAGAAAATAGATGAAAACAAAACACCATTTTAAAAAAAGTTCAATGCTTTAAGTCTGCATCTTTCTTTTTAAACATTTGCCTCAAAAAACAAGATTTACAAAGAAATATTTCAGAGGCAAATATTTTACAAATAATCTGTAGTGTGCCCCCCCCCCCCCCCCAATTATCTCTGTCAGACATAAAGTACACTATAGCAGACTGTGCTTTGGGGGAAAAAAGAATGAAAACAAACGACATTGCTCCTTTCCAGTTGTTGCACAAGGAAACGGCCTAAGACTAAGATCTTTTCCTTCCAGTACATAGATAAAACTCACTTTTAAAAGCTAAATATAATGCACTAAAGGTCAGCGTAAGTTTTACTTGCTAAATACAAACAGGAATATCACTGGAAGGTTTTAAGAGGTAAATGATATAATATTACTAATCCACAAAGCGCCTGTGGAGGAAGGAGGCTGTTGTAGCGGCGGGATTGGTGACAATGGAAACAGAAAGAAAGAGATTGGAGGTGCATTTTAGAGGCTTAAGAGCAAAATTTGTCAATGAATGGGAAGTGCAGGATGAGAGAAAGGGAAGAACAAGGAGGATCCCTAGAATTTTTACTTAAATAACTGGGTGGTTCTGATGTGGGGAGGGTTTAGAAACTAGTTTGGGGGGAAATTAGGGTTTCCATGTTGGACATAGAAGTTTGAGAAACCTATTAGCTATCCAAGGGCAGATGTCATGTAGGCAGTTAGATATGGATGGTGATGTTGAGGTTTGAGGGCTGGTTGGACATGCTAATTGGGGGCAATCAGCATGTAAATGGTACCCCAACACTTAGCAGTTAGCAGCAGGAGAGGGATCCTGGAGAGTAGACTGTGGTCAAAGAGAAACTCTCATGATAAGTTAGTCATTTCCTCTTCTGTGCGATTCTTAGGAACTGAAGTCTGTGTGTAGCTGGCTTGGGGAGAAAAAAGCAGGAGAAACCAGACGTCGGGGGCAGATAGGAAGGGCAAGGGTTGACCCTGATGAGCCTGTATTTCCTGATGGGGAGTTTGGATTTAAGCTTGAGGCCGTGAAGCCATTGGTGGACGTCGAGCAGCAGCCTGGCATGGCACTGTTACTGAGAATGGTTCACAAGGCATTGGCAGAGGAGCGGTATGGTAGAAGGAATTCTACAAGCTGAGTGACTGCTATGCAGTGATAGGTTATTAAATGTGAAATGTCTCCACATAACTGTTTCTGGCAGCCCACAAATCCGCATTATTCTGCTACGCACAGTGGTCTGTGTTTGGGGGTGGGATGCACATCGGGGAGCTGAAGGATGAGAAGTCAACACCAGCAGATAAGAGATAGCTGGGAAAGGCGTTGGACTGTCCCTAGGATGTGAGATGGGAGTTTGAGCCATTCTTATCTAAGGGGCAGGGTGACATCAGGCCTGCGGATGAAAACAGTCCGTTGACCTTGAAGGTCATTGAGCACGCGGTGAGAAGAACTTCAGACTAGTGGTAGAGGCACTTCTCAGTGGGCTGAAAAGCAAAAGTGAGGAATAGAAGGCAGAGTATGAACTACCTACCCTTTTGGGAGGAAAGCTGTCAGTGTCTGAGTAAGCAAAGTGCTTGGTCTCTGATCATTCACTTCTGTCTTGAAAGGACTGAGTGATCTTTGCATTCCCAGAGTTGTGGGCTTTTTTTTTCTTTCTTAAAGATATATTTGAAATCTCTTACTGTCAAGAAATAAGTTGATCTGGCTGCTTAATGCAGGAACCTCCTCCATTTGAAAATATAGACAATGGATATCTCTGCTGTGTGATTAAGACTTTGCTAACCTCATTAGGTTGAGCACATTGGACATTGAAAGGAGGGTTGGTTGGGCTGTATTAGGATCTTGTGTTTGTGGCTCTAGACCACAAGAAGTTGTTTATAACTGTTCTTTCAGGACTTGGAGATATATATTTCACATCAATACACTCCTTTATGATGATGGTTTGTGGGGAACAGGCTGACGTACCCTTAGAATCTTAACACATCCTAAGTGGTTGGTCTGAAATGCTAGCCTTCTGTTATCCCCTGGTGTTTAAATTAATGCACACTTGTAAAGTAAAAAGGCGGGGGTGGGGGTGGAGGTGGAATCAGGGACTCAAACATCAGTGAGGAACAGAATAGAAAGTGAAAGTCCTACAGAGTTAGTATGGAAGTGAGGGTGAGGACGGTCTGCTGAATAAAGAATTGGTGATAAAATTTGATTTTACATTCTGATGTGACCATTTTATAGTGGCTGTGTCAGAACATCCTGTTTGCTTTGGTGCCTTTTGGAACAGGGAGGCCCCATAGCCACAGAGCAGGGTGCGAGGGCAAGAGGCCCTAAGCACTCTTTTGGGGTAAGTCTGGAGTTGGGGGCCAGCAGATGGGTCTGCTGTTGGAACGAAGCTGCTCCCAGGGTGATCTTTATGTCGTCTTACAGCCCTGCCCACCTCCTGGTCCATCCTCGGGAGCCAGGGCTCACCATGGGACTGGGATCTTTGGGGTTGCCTCCAGGGGGCCAGCGCTAGGAGTGGGAAGGTGGGGAGTGGCAGGCAGTGCATAGGCTGAAGGAACAGGCAAGAGGGCCAGCTGAGGGCTTTGGGGCACTGCCCAGTGGGTCTCTGACCATGGGACACATAGGCAGCACCGGTGGGCTGAGAGCCACACCGAGGGGTGTGGGAGCACAGGTAGGACGTGCTCTGTGTAGTTTGCATTTGCTTCAGGCAAAGTGAACAGTGGTTAGTAAAGTCATAGGCTCCCCAGGGGGAGCCCACCTGTTTGTGCCATTGCCATCACCGCAGTTACAGGATTCAGGCACTGCCCCTTCCTCAGGGTCAGGGTCCCCTCTGACGCTGGGAAATCAGCAGCAAACCCTGCCACCTAGTGGCAAGGAGACAAGCTACACAGGCACTAGACAAGTCTGGGTGGAAGAGATCTCAATATGACCTCTTGTAATTGCAAAGATAACGATGAAAAGGGAGAAGAAAGCTACCATTTTTGAATGACAGCTATTTGGATTTAAAATCTGTTTTTATTGATTTTTGAGAGAGAGGGAAAGAGAGGGAGAGAGAGACAGAAACATTGATGAGAGAGAAACATCAACATCGATCGGCTGTCTCCTTCACGCCCCCTACCAGGCATCAAGCCCTGACCAGCGGCCTCTTAGTGCATGGGTCATTGCTCAACCACTGAGCCACACTGGCCTGGCGTATGACAACTGTTTCTAATCCTCACAACAATCCATTGAATGGTTCTTAGTGTTCCCACTTTATAGTAAGGAAAATGAGGCTATAATTGACCCCTGAGGACATATAGTAAGGAAGAGATGAAATGAGGTGAGTTTTAAAACAATTTAGAATGATTTTAGAACAATTATTATGTTAGCCACCTGAGGTCTTGTTAAAACACAGGTGGCTAGGCCCTACCCCCAGAGTTTCTGACTTGGCAGGTTTGGGTGGGACCTGGTAACCTGCCCGTCTAACTGCCCAGTGGTGCTGATGCTGCCGCACGTCTTGCTTGGGGTAAACACTATATAGAAATTTATTGGATAAAGTTGATCAATAAAGTCAGGGTCAGGACTCCAAAGCAGGCCTGTCTGATTCTAACACCTGTTCTCTTTTGACAACATGCCGCCTCTCAGGTTTGACTTTTAAGGCTGAATAAATCGCTGTACTTTGCCCTTTGCTGAATTTTTGTTTTGCAACATAAGATGGCTGGTTGGTTGTGTGCTGGTGTACTCGTTAAAGGGCTGGTTATGCATGAAGACTTTCTCAGGACAACCCCACAGAATGTAAGACACGGGTTCTGCCCTGCAAGGAGGTGCAGCTCGGCTGGGAAAGAGATATCTTACAAGTATGACAAGGACCTCAGAAAAGTTACCAACTGTATAGTCACTAAGTCAGAGCAGAGCAAGAACCCCGAGGACTGTGGCATTGCAGAGGCCTCTGTGGACGGACAGTGTCCTGGAGAATGAGTGAGTTAGGGTGCACAGGGCACTGGGAGCCCATGCAGGTGGGGGAGGGAAGAACAATATGAAAATGAGGAGAGCTGGGAAGGGAGCACCCGCTGGTGAAGTGCCTTCTATGCATCAGGCATGGAGCCTGCATTCTCTCATGGACCTTTCAGAGCAGTGGGCAAGCTGCCTAGGGTCACATCGCCAATGGATGCCAGAGCTAGGACTCTAGAGCTAGGACTCAAGCCCACGTCAGACTGCCCTGCCTTTTCCACATGAGAAGTTGCCCAGGGGTGTAGGAGGCTGGGCGGGATTAGGGGGAAGCTCTCACTCTCAGGCTCCAGTAATGACAGGGCCGCATCAGAGGGGGGCCTCCTTGCCTGTTGGGCCCGAGACGCCTGGCCCTGGCTCGCCCCAGCTCAGTCCTGGTCCCAGTAGGAGGAGCAGTGAGAAGACAGCAGGACTGCAAAGTGGGTTGAGGTCAGACACTGCAGAGCTATGAGGACCAGGCGAAGGGATTTAGATTTCATAAGCAGTGGGGAGACATGGAAGTTTATGGAGCACGGCAGTGATTGGATCTGAACACTTGACTGCATACAGTGTGGAAACTAGTGAGGAAGGTCTCAAAGTTGTCTTGGGGAAGGGGAGGTCATTAATCAGTATCTGGGCTAGGGTAGTAGAAAAAGAAGGGAACTGATGTCAGCACTTCCATTAAGAACCTGCAGGACTTGGTGTGGCGATACCGGACACAGCGTCTTGGGGAGCTGGAGAATTACGAGGTGCTTCCTGGAATGTGCACACCCATCGGAAGAGCTGACAGGGGTTAAGTGGGAGAGAGGAGAAGGCAGGGTTCCTCCCTTGACGTGATGGGAGTGGGGTGGCCAAGTCGGCCTGGTAGAGGGTTGACACTCCGAGGCTGACAGGGGAAAATGGCTTTGGAGTCCTTTGCCAAGAGACGGAAGTCCTGGGTGTCTGCTTTGATTGTCCTCTGGGGTCCTTATAGGCCTGGCCTTGCACGTTTACTTAGCTGTGTTTCCAGATGCCTTGCAGACCCTGGCGTCATCTTACCTGTCCTCATCTTACCTGTCCTCCTCTCTCCTCAGCCTCCCCCCGGACCAGACCCTTCCTCGCCACGGTCCCAGCCAGTCCCTGTCCTTCCCAGAAAACTACCAGACTCTTCCCAGGAGCACCCGTCACCCATCGGGGGGCTCCTCGCCTCCACCCCGCAACCTGCCAAGTGACTACAAGTACGCGCAGGACCGAGCCAGCCACCTGAAGATGTCGAGCGAGGAGCGCCGGGCACACCGCGATGGCACCGTGTGGCAGCTCTACGAGTGGCAGCAGCGCCAGCAGTTCCGGCACGGCAGCCCCACGGCGCCCATCTCCCCGGAGTTCCCTGAGCAGGGCCGGAGCAGGAGCATGCTGGAGGTGCCCCGCTCTATCTCCGTGCCTCCATCTCCCTCGGACATCCCTCCCCCGGGACCCCCGCGGGCCTTCCCACCCCGGCGGCCACACACACCAGCAGAGAGGGTCACCGTGAGGCCACCGGACCAGAGGAGGAGTGTGGACATCTCGTTGGGCAGTTCTCCCAGGAAGACATGGGGCCACACCACCAAGGTGAGGCTCTGGAGTCCTGTCGGGCTGCTGGGGCCCAGCATTAGGGCACCAGGAGCCTCACGTGGTTTGAACACAAATTTGAGCAATTTGCAATAATGATAGGTTACACTTACACAGTAATTTTAGGTGTCAGTGCAGGGCTAAAGGAGTTACTTTAATTTTTACAACAGCCCAAAGAGGTAGGTGCTGTTATGCCCATTTCACTGATAAGAACTCTTGAGGCATTAAGAAATGAGTAACTTGCATGGGCCAGACAACTAGAAATCTGCTTCCTTGCAGCTTGGAAGGCAGGAAAAGCTGTCAGTGTTCAGTTTAATTATCTATAATAATAAAAGCGTAATATGCTAATTAGACCAGAAGCTGGGGCTGCGAGGGAAGCCCTGGCCCCTGGTGCCAGAGGGAAGCCGGTGCTGGCTGCTGGGGGAAGGAAGGCCTACTCTTGCATGGATTTTGTGCATCAGGCCTCTAGTGTATAATAATCCAACTTACGTTTTCACTCATCATGGGGCTTTCACAGTTTGTCACTGTTGTAACCGGGTGAGAAAGGGGGGTATCTTCATTTTACAGATGAAGAGTGAGGCTCAGAGAGGTGATGTGCCTGAGGTAGGCTGCCCTGCCAGTGAGTGGCAGAGGTTCTGGCCCCCTTGCCCGGCCCTCAGTGTGACTTCTTCTCTCCCCACCTGCAGAACTCCTCGCACGTGGACCGACGCTCCATGCCCTCCATGGGTTACATGACCCACACTGTCAGCGCTCCCAGTTTACACGGAAAATCGGTAAGCGGGGCTTCATCTCCCCCTCCAGGCGAATGATATAGTGCAGCCTGCAAAGGGCTAATCTCGCCTGATCCCCCCTCCCGTCCACCCCCCAAGTTAATCCAATGCGGTCTGCAGGGCAGTTTTCAACCCCCAATTTAGAGATGAGAAAACTGAGGCTCAGAGAAGTCGAGTGACTTGCTCAGGGTCACGCCGCCAGCGTTGGGTCCTCCCCAGACCCCACGAAGAGGTTGGGGAAGCGGAAGAGAACATGGGCTCTTCTCTTTCGGACAGCGTTTTCCAGCCACCTGCTCTTCTCTCGTTAGCTCCTCTCCTGGTCTTTGCTTTGATTAGTTAACCATCTTCAAAGTGTGAGCCTGGGTGAGGGCCACTGCTGGCTGCTGTTTTCTGGAAAAAGCACTTCCTGCAGCCCCTTTCCCGCCAGTGCCTTTATTTGTCCTAATGACAGAATTAATGCAGCAATTACCTAATGGTGTCACATCAGTGCTGGCCCAGCACGGGGCGAAGAGTAATTATAGCGACGTGCTCCTGCGGTGGCTAATTTCCTCGTGATGTGTCTACACACCTGCAGCTGGAGGAGCTCTCGCTGCTTCTCACCCGGTTACGGCGGCACCAGGCCAAGCTGGCCAGTGTGCGAGATTTCGCCGTGGGCCAGTTACTGCAGCACCAGCTGGCCTTTCCCACCTGCCAGGTCAGCACCCCAGATCTCTGGGGCCGGGGGCCACCCCGGAGGCAAGGGAGTGACGTGCTGGCCCATGTTCCCCCGTGCCACGCTCTGGTCTGTCCTTGCTGTCTGGCTCTCTCCCTCGTTCCCTGCCTGTTTGCTTCTGGATGTGACTGCTGGACACTGTGCCACGGTGGTGGGGCCCGTGCCCGGGCACTGGGGAGGAGGCTGCATGTGGTGTGAGGGCCCTGAACTGTGGCTTCTCTGGCTGTGAGTAGGGACTGGCAGGCTGGTGTGTGGCCATGTCCGAGGGGCTGTGCTGGCTGTCGTCCTTGTTACCACCGTGGGTCCTCCTGGGGTGCCTAAAGGTGTGTGCCAGCCTGGAGGGAGAAGGCAGAGTGCCCAGCCAATAGACCAAGCAGCCTCACATCCCTTACCCTGGTGAGCCTCACAGTGACCTGGGAGAGGGTGGGTAGGGCAGGAATTATTAGCGCACAGCAGGCAGCGGGTCAAGAAGGGACGTGACTTGCCTGGGATCCCTCGGTTACATCCAAACCCCAGGTCCTGCCTGCATAGTGTCCAGGCAGTTGCCCTCCCAGCATCTGGAGCAGCTTAAAGAAGATGCTGGTGCAGACAGGACTGGTCCCTCTGAGTTGCACAGATATCGGCAGAAGACAGAGGCACAGGGCGATGGGATGGTTACCTTCCTTGTCCTGTTTTAGTGGGACCTGAGGGACTCAGGAAATGTACTTGGGAGAATGAAAGTAAGGGAACACTTACAAAAACCCTAAGTTGTGAATTTGGGTGTTTTTTAAATAACATTTATATAATATTAATTTATTAATAACTTATTAATGATTTAATAACATTGCTCTGTCCCTCTTACTGCCATGGAAAGTGTATCGGGACCAATAATAAAAAAGAAGAAAGTGTATAGGGACTGGGCTGATTAAGGAACTAGGGAAGGGTAAGGGTACAGGTTAGGGACAGAAATAAGATCTTGCTAATTAGTGTCCCTGGCAATAGTCCTTCAGGCCTTCTCATGCTTAAAAGCACGGCCCGCATGTGTCGCGTTGTTTATTTGTGTGTTTGTTTTACATCAGAGCTGTAAACGGACCATCTTCCCAGCCATGCTCGCCTCAGCTTGCTGGAGGCCTCTTAGTCTGCTGAGAGTGTGCCTGGGCTGCTTTTGAAACCTCTCTGCCTCACAGTCAGCGTCCGTGACCTGTTGCACGGGAAGCACAAGTTCTAGGAGAGCAGTCTTTTCCTTATTCCTTATTCTCACTTTTCCTAGTAATTATTCTGAAGAACTCAGCGCTGTCGGAGACGATACGAGCTGATAGGTCTGACATTGGCCCTTCCGCAGGTAGCTCCCGATGTGGTCACTCTGGCTCCACGCTGAGCAAGGAAGCCAGAACTTCCAGCTTCCAGGAAACGTCCAGTGGCTACTGGTGTTTATTATTCTGAAACCCAAGGTCATAAGGGGACATCCCTGGGCCATCTCCCGGCCTCTTCCAGGCATTTACCCATACCGATCATGGGTCATTTTGCTTCATGCATGTGAATAACTCAGTGCAAAGGTTTGATGACAAAATTTGGAGTACCGGCCGTCAATGGGCCCTGAGCTCAGGTGTAGATGTCCTCTTCCAGGGAGACCTCTGTAGTTGTCTCAGGAGATCACCTCCGCCTCATGGCACTGCTGTCCTTGCCTTCTGGTGGGATGTGTGCTATCTGCCTCCTTGCCATCAAACTGCCCCCTCAGCTGATGAGGGGACAAGCTGGCTTTCCCCACAGCGACCTGCAAGATCCATCATGCTGAGAGCGGGCTCCAAGCTGCACCAAGACATTTGTGCTTCCTCTGTGGCCTGGGAAGTGTTGGTCTGCTGTGGTCGCTGTCCCCGATGCTGTGCAATGTAAACCATTCATGAAGCCCAAACACACAAATACACATGGAAACCCTTGCTGCTCATAACTGGGTTCTCTCTGCTTCCTTTGAAGGCTGATGATACCTACCTCCAGCTGAAGAAAGACCTGGAATACCTGGACCTAAAGGTGAGCCACATCAGGGATTTGCGTCCCTTGGACACTCACCTTACTGAGAGTGTCCGCTCCATCGTAGCCAGGCCCACGCCAAAGACTGTGCAGGTCTGATCAAATCTGGATCCCAAATGGAGACGGCTGCTGTCCAGTCAGAGGAGTTTTATTTCTTACAGCCTCAGATTCTGCTCTTAGTCTCTTGTGAATTCTGCTGTGAGTCTCTGTCCTACCGAAGGAGGCCACAAGATTCGGATCTCTTCCTGTCCTTGGGCAGAACCAAAGGTCCCTCCAAATAGTAATCATTGCCTGTTCAGAGCCTGCAGTGGGATGGTGCCGAGTTTGGTTCAGAGAAGCCCCTGGTGTGTGCTTTTGGTTCCAAGTAGGTCAGTGGATTGTTCGTTGCTGGGGAGATGGTTCCACGTGGAATTACGTGGCTCTGAGGGGCGCTGTCTCCCACCCCCCATTTAGGAAATGATCACTGGTGATAAAGCTCTGGGCTCCAATCAGCCTCCGTGGCACAGAGAGCCCGAGGAAGCCGGGGAACCGAGAGGCACTGCGTGACAGCTGCCACTGTGGCGTTCACCGGGCTCTCTGGAAGCTCCCCCTGTGAAGAGCACTTCTTATGCCTGATCCATGAAACAGACTGAAGGAGTGTGACTTTTAGTTAACTGCGGGCGTGAGAGGCGGTGAGGGCTGTGGGAGTCACCAGGTGACTGCCATGGGGCATGCTCCTCCAGTCTCCGGGGTACCTGGCTTCAGAGATTTTTAACGGGGCTTGTCCTCCAGCCTTGTAGAAGTGGGGTACGAGCATCAGGCCCTGTGGCAGCCTGTTTAGAAAACAACTAATTAACTGCTATATCTAGTGAGCACTTGCCATGTACTCGGCCCTGGAGAAGCCTAGGGGAGGTGCAGGAGTAAAATCGGGGCTCTCTGGGTTGGGGAAAGAAAACATCCCCAAATAACAGACTTATTTACAAAGACGTGGCCCGGTGCTCAGAGCGGAGATAATGAGGATCTCTGTGGGCTGCCACTTCCAGAGGAGATGGCGTGTGGGTGGAGCCTGGAAGAGCCAGAATATTTGCATTGGCTGAGATAAAAGGGAAGGGGATGGAGGGAGCCAAGGAGAGCCAGGTGAGGGTGGTGTGGCCTTGGCCTCAGGAATTGGAGGTAGCTCGTTCATGCTTCAGATCAGGGGTCCTCAAACTTTTTAAACAGGGGGCCAGTTCACTGTCCCTCAGACCGTTGGAGGGCCTGACTATAGTTTAAAAAAAAAACTATGAAAAAATTCCTATGCTCACTGCATATTTTTTACTTCAAAATATCTTATTTTGAAGTAAAAATACAAAACGGGAACAAATACAATATTTGTATTTGCATGTGGCCCACGGGCCGTAGTTTGAGGACCCCTGCTCCAGAGTCTGTCTCAGGCTCTGGAAGGAAGGTGCAGTGAATGGAAGTCTGACTTGGTTTTTGGACACGAGCAAAACAGGGTTCTCTCAAAACCAGGGCATTTTCTAGCTCCCGTGGCGTGAACGAGTATTGTAAGTGTGGCAGTAATGCCCCAGGGTACCGAGTGCTCAGACGTGGGCGTGGGCTAACTGTACTGCCCGTGCTCCCGTGCCCTGCTGGGACAGGGCAGGGTCCTTCCACCACGCCCACCATCCCCACCTGACCGGGGAGGTCCACAGCCCCTAGCCTCCGTCAGCCACGTGTGCCCCCACACCCCTGGTCCCTGGCCTGCCCGACTGCCAGCCACCATGTCGCTGTTTCTCCTCACCCCTGCTCTGGGGCCGTGCCGTTGGCACAGAAGGATTCGTGGAGCATCCACGTCCTTGGCCTGTGGCAGAGGCTCAGCCCGGCAGCAGCACAGGTGTGTGTGAGGCACCCTCGCCAAGCTCGGTGCACAGGGCGAGAGGAACTCCATGAAGTGCCTGGGCCAGAAGCCTGGGAGTAGCTGTCTCCTGACTCCTGTTTGTGTGGGAGAGCCGAAACGCACAGTTGTCCTGGAGTAAAGATCCAGCCCAGACTGTAGGATTGGCGTTAAAGGGAGTCTAGAGAGAGGGAAACCGAGGCACAGGATAGCAGAGCAAGGCCAGGGGTCCCTGTGTGTCCTGACTCCCAAGAGAAGCTAAAACACAATTCAGAGTATCACGCGTGCCGGCTGCTGTGCTTTGCTCCGAGAGAGTGTGCGAGCCCCTGAGCAGTCCTGGGAGGGAGGTGGCGGGTTGTGTTGTACAGACTGAAGCTCTGAGAGAGAAATCACATGAGCAGTGACTGGGGAGTCAGTATTTATGTGTTGCTCTGAGTCTGGAGCTCATGCTCTTAATCACCTTTCCTCCCAGACTTTGCTAAAACTCCCCTCCTACCACTGTGCACCCGGAGGAGTTAAGTTTTTTATGGAACCGAACTGGGGGTCGTTATGCCAGGAAACGTGTTTGATGTGATGGAGGCAAGGTGTGTCCTTGGGGTGTTTGACTGGCTGGGAGCTGGGGGTGCCCCGAGCATTAGCAGTTGGAAGTTGTTGCTGTCTGTCATGAACAACAGCTGTGTTGATGCCAGGCCTTCCCTGGTCTTGTGGATGTTGCTCCAGTTGCTGGCTCCTCTCAGAGAACTAGTCCCCCAGATCAATGGACCAGAAGCCCGTGTGGGAAGAGATGCTGGGGTTTGTGCTGCGTGTGAGTCATCAGTCTGGCGTGGCTGCCAGAAAGGCAGGCACCACCTTGGCCTGCCTCCAAGGGACGGGGTGCCCATATCGGGGAGGCAGCGGGCCTGCTCTGCTGTGATCCCACTGGGGTCCAGGGTTCCCAGATGGCTGTCTCCCTTGGGGATCCAGACGAGGGAAGGGCTGGAATCAAAGGAGAGGTGCTGAGGACCTGCAAACCCTGGCTGCGGAGTGTATAGGTGGGATGCTTTCGCCTGCAAGAGTCTGAAACCCACATCAGCCTGCTAAGCCAGAAAGGGAATATACGTTACAGGGTTACACTCCACGGGCTTAGACCATGCTGTCCCTGGTCTACCTTCCTTGGTGTGGAGGCTGCCTCCACATGGCCAGGGAAGGTGGCACCTGCAAATCCAGGTTCATTTCCTCCCGGCCTCGCCTCCCCTCAGAGTGAAGGAGAGGTCCCTCAGGGAGGGCATGCTGGGCAGAAGCAAGAACCACAGCGGCGAGCACGGCTCCAGTGCAGGATGTCAGAGGTTAGGTCAATTCAGGGGAGACATAGACACAGTCTGTAAAGCTCTGAACTATTACCAGGTGCCCTCTGTGGCCCTAAGGGAGAGTTAGGACAAGTGGAGAGTAGCTAGAAGTAGGCGGGTTTCCGTTTAGTAGGAAAGAGACTTTTCTAAAAGGGCCACCACAGGTCACGGTGGACTCTCCACCATGGTGCAGCTGAGGCCAGAGGAGCACTGGGTGGGATGAGCGGCTGGGTCAGGAGCACCCTGAGGCCACTGGCTCCTGCCAGCGGTTCTCAACCTGTGGGTCACGACCCCTGAAAATACATCGTGCACATCAGATATTTACATTACAATTCATAACAGTAGCAAAATTATAGTTATGAATTTGCAACGAAAATAATTTTATGGTTGGGGGTCACCACAACATGAGGAACTGTATTAAAGGGTCGCGGCATTAGGAAGGTTGAGAACCACTGTCAGCTAGACACAATGAGCGGACGCTGAGTCGGGCGGGGGCCCCTGAGACGCGGGCCTCTGTGGACACAATTGAATGGGCCCGGGCATGGAGACCATGACAGGCACAGTCCCCACGGTCACCAGCTCCTTGAGATGTCCTTCCCGGGTCCTTTCGGGGGAGGAAGGAGGTTGGCCTAGAGTCCCCCTCGTCTCTGCCCGAGGGCCACAGACTTAAGGATCAGAGCCCATCATCCCGTCCATCAGCGATGCTCAGCTTCCGGAATCAGGGTGTGGTGATGTGGGGTTTTTTCTTCCTGAAATGAGCATTCCTGCTGCGGTGCCAAGCGATCCCACAAAGGTGCATGCCACTGTCTTAGAAGACACTTTGTTTAGTGTTCTTTTGGGAAACATTTACTTCTCTGGCGTTTTAGCTGGCGGTGCCACGGTGGAAAGGGCTCCACGTAGATTAGGCGTCTCTCTCTGCCTGGCAGTGTTTGGGCACCTGGTGTTCTTATCTCACTTAATCCTCTCAGCATCCTTGAGCAACGCAATAGGAATTATTATCCCCACCTTATCAACCAGGAATCCACGTATCAGAGGGGTGACTTCTGCAGTCACACGGCTGGGATTCAACCCACTGACTCCCTGCACACCTGCCACCTTCCTTCCGTGTACCATGCAGTTCACCTGCCCTAAAGTTGCATTCGCTGAATTGTACTTCTGGCATCTAAGTTCTGCATGTCAAGACCCTACACTCCGGCTGGATCTGCAGGAGGGCATGGGGGTTCCCTGTTGTTGACAGCTTGAACTGTTTTTACGCAGCCATGAAGCACAGCTGGGACGGGAGGCAGAGGGGAGGGTGTCTGCCAGCTGCTCAGCTGATGCCTTTGTGGGTAGAGTAAGTAGCAGTCAGTTCCAGAAAGGTGCTTGTCCCTGGTGAGGGGCATGTCACCAGTGGCTCCAGGTGCCTGGCTCCCAGGCCCTTCCTGACGGTTTGAGCCTGTGATCAGGGCTTCCCTGTTCAGGTCTGTTCCGCAATCAGCATCCAGAGCGAAGTTCCTCATGGTGTGGTCTGGGCAGTACCTGCTGCAGGACCCCCTGGGAGCTCGATAAATCATCGCAAGTCTGGGATTCTGCTGAATTAGAATCTCTGGAGATGGTGCCCAGAATTCTGTCTTTTTTAATAATCAAGCTTTGCAGCAATTCTTGTGCATATGACGTTTGAGGTCTGTTGTTCTGGAGAAGAGATTATAAACTCTGGCCATGAACCAAAACAACCCGGGGAGCTCTTTAATTAAGCATCGCTGCTTGGGTCCCATCCCTTAGCGCAGTGGTTCTCAACCTTCCTAATGCAGCGACTCTTTAATACAGTTCCTCATGTTGTGGTGACCCCCAATTTCATTGTTAAAAATGGAACATAATTAAAGCACAGTGATTCATCACAAAAACAATATGTAATTATATGTGTGTTTTCCGATGGTCTTAGGCGACCCCTGTGAAAGGGTCATTCGATCCCCAAAGGGATCGCGACCCACAGGTTGAGAACCCCTGCCTTAGCGGCTCTGATTGAATTGATTACACTCAGGTATTGCTCTTAAAAACAAACAAAATCTCCCTCAGTGTTTCTAATGTGTAGCCACGGTTGAGGGATATTGTTTCAAAGCACTGGTTCTGGAAGTGTGATGCCAGGCCAGCGGCATCAGCAATGCCAGGGAATTTGCTGGAAATGCAAAATCCTGAGGCCCGAGGCCTACTCCAGACCAGCTCCAGCTCCGTGAGGACTGCTGGGGGGTGGGGCCCAGCAGATCTGTATACAGGGATGGGAAAAGTATGCTTACAGTTGTTTGTATGGAGAAAGATGCAGGTTGTAGCTTTAGTCACACAAAAGAATGTTACTCACAACTGTAAACCTACTCTTGCCCACCCCTGCATTAACAAGCCCTCCGGGTAGTTTTGAAGCACCATAACGTTTAAGAGCCACTGTTGTGGAATCCTCGTTCCCAATCCTGGCTGCACATTAGGACCCCCCAGGAGGGCTTTTGAGTGTCCCAATGCCCGGGCCCCGCCCCAAACCACTACATTCGAGTCTCTCAGACTGGGACTCGGGCGTCAGTATCTGTTCAGGTTTCTGAGTCATTGCAAGGGCTCCGGCCAGGGTTGAGACCCACTGTCTGAGCCGGTGAGGACAGTCTTCCCTCAGAGCAGCTGCCAGCACTGGGATCCTGGGTGAGACATGGTGCCTTAGCTGCAGGTGCAGCACAGTGTGGAGGCGAGGGTCTGCGGGACTAAGGACGGCACCGCTCTAAATGACAGTGTGTGATGAGGGAGGACGAGGGAAACAGCAAAGTTGCTTCTCGAAGAACCCAGGATCAAGTGGGCACGGAACTCGGCTCTCACGTAAACTAGCCTGCACGGAGGTCCTTCAGGCAGAGCTTACCATCCCCTGTTTTATAGACGAGGGAACTGAACTCCAGAAAGGCCCGCCAGCTGGGAAGCCAGCACGAGGACTGAGTCCCAGTCACTGGACCGCATATAACACATCCTCCTTCAGGGTCCCCTTGCCCGTTCCCCAAATTCTGGCTCCTTCAAGTGTTGTTTGATGTCTCACCTGTGACGTTTTGTTGTGTTTGCCTTTCTGTTTGGAACAGATAAAAAATAACGAACCTTTGATCAACGTGCTTTACAGAGTGCTGAAGAAGTCAGCACAGGGCTGGCGGCCCAGGAGACGCGTAAGATGATCTGACCTGTGTCTCCAGGCGGGGCCATTCCATGCTTTTGGCTCAGTGCCGATTCCATCACGTGCTTAACCAGGAGCTCTCCTGGCCACCCCAGGCTTCCTGCCAGTCATTTCTGTTTATTTGCTTTCTCTTAAGCTCCTGTCAGCGTGTTGGCTGGTGCACCAGGCTGAGCCTCTCATCCGTACTGCCCTGTGATTCCATTTTTTGTGCTGCCATAGGGTGGCGGGGTGGGGGCAGGGGGCTCGCCCAGCTTTGCTTCCAGCTTGTGTCATGTCCCATTCTCCCTCATCTGCCTCCACAGCGAGGCCTGGCCTAGACAGAGACCAGCATGGCCTGGGTAGTCGAGCGTGAGCCTTGGGAGGGAGCGGTTGTTCCTGGTCATCGTGGAGGAGCTGGGTGTCCTCGGATTCCACCGTGGACCTGCATTAAATTAAGGTGGCTCTTCTTCGGGGCAGGGTGCTGATGTCTGGAGCTGGACTAGAACAAAATAGGGCCTCCCATCCCTCGCTTTGACCGATGCAGAAGTAGCGCCTGGAACACGGCCAGCTTTTGTCGCTTTCAAGGGAGGATGTGGGTTGTGAGGCAGGTGCTACTCCTGGTCATCCTGAGCCCTGAGAAGGGGTGTCCTGGGAGGTGGTGGAGGGGAGTAAGAGGGCTGGGTCACCTTCAGTGCCTTTCTGATGTAGACACCATTTGAACTGACACTTGATGTTAATGGATTTAAACATTGCTAACACAAAGCACAGTCTTAAAAGGGGAAGTAGATGTCATACACTTCTTGTGGATATTTCATAGTCGTCTCGGTTCTCCGGGACAGCTAAATTCAGAAGCTTCAAGGGCCTCTGAGCTGTGTGAATGCGATCACAAAGCCCAGCTCTAAAACCTATGGCCTTTACTCAGGGCTTGGGCCCTGAGCACAGCCAGCTCACCTGGTTTTGTTACAATCACAGACTCACTAAGCAAACATTTCCCAAATATCCTCAGTATGATGGGCCCTGGCTGGGCTTTGAGGATGCAGAGAAAGTAGGTCACAGTCTGACAGTCACCCCTAATTGGGTTAGTTCCTAGTGAGGGGAGACAGAACGTTTCATCTGATGTACTAAGGCCCTTGTTGTGGGAGACACAGGTGTGGGAGCATCTCCCTGGAAGGGCACCAAACCCAGCTACAGGGAGGGAGACAGGAAAACAGCAAGAATGTCACCTGCACTGAATTTCTAATCCTAAGAGACTCAGTCCGAGTTTGAATTCCTAACTCACAGCACCTTAAGAGCAGCACATTGAAAGGGCACAAGGGAAAGTTACTTCTTTGAAAAGAAGGAGTGCTAATACCCCAAGAGAGAAAAAGAAACATTACATGTCCATCTAAAATGGACATGAAATCACAGAAATTTGGGAGCACTTAATCAAGGGCCAATAGCTTCTAAGAAATTCTATATTATCGATTTTTTATAATGATTGACTCGTCCCCCCATAAACTGTTGAATATATATATATATTCATCATTCTGTGATGGCAGTGAAGGGCATACTTTTCATAAGCACTCCACCAAAAAAAATTGAAAAGGTTCGGCTTTCTCAAAATGCCCTTGTTGTGTAGAATCCCTCACTTAATTCCTGGTGGTGCTGGATAAACGAGGCATCGCTCAATTAGATTCTCTGCCTCGCTATTTCAGTATCGAAAAGATCTCATCTGTAAAAAGCTTCAGTGATAAACGGGGAAGAGTTTTGCCGGGAGGAAAAGTCCCCAAAGCATATCTCATTTTGAACATGATTTCTTCCTGGGAAATGAGCCGAGTGTCAGCCCCGTGGAGGGTAGGCAAGCTCTGCCCTCTGCTTTGATGAAGGACTGTGCACAGAGTGAAGACTCTACTGCGTTCACCTGCTGGGTTCCCCTGAGTTTAAAGGCCCAAGTCCTACCTGGGAAGTTCAGCTGTTTGTGGCTCACCAGGATTAATTCCACCGCCTCCCTCTCCCCTTCTGCCTGTTTGTTTGTGGATTGTTGCTGGAGTCAGTGTGTTCCGTGACTGTGTGTATACGTGTATGTACACATCATCTGTCAGTTTGAAGAGCAGAATTTGGCTGGAGTCCCATTTTTTTCCAGGAACTCGACAGCACTGACTTACCAGTATTTCCCTTTGACCTACTTGCAATGCAAGGAGTCTTTGTCAAGTGCCCTTCAGTGCCAGGCCTTGTGTTCGGGGCTGACTTTACTGAGATAAATAAGACAGTGGTCCCTGCCCTCTACTGTGTGGCCAAAGGGAGCCTGGGAATGGGTAGGGGCGGGTCTGCAGCCAGACTCAGTCCTCAGGCCAAGGTATGGATGGAGAAGGCATTCTCCTTTGACCTTGACCTTTGCTGATAATGATTGTCAAGGAGAGGGAGTATAGGACAGTTGGACACATGGAGGGGGGGTGGCGGGGCTTGAGTTCTGAAGGAAATGCTTGCCAATATATTTCTGCTTCTGATTCACATTCACAAACTTAGTGGACCTCCCAGATGGAGTAGGGAGAAAGCAAGGGTCAGCTGCTGTCTGTCCATCCACACTGGGACACACCACCACCTATCTTGGCCATGGTTAGCTACGCCCTGTTGTTTCCCTGGTCAGATCTGCAAAACGGAGTTCCCTACGGAGGGGGGGGGGGGGGCGGGGGGGCATATTCAACTGGGCGGTTCCTGCCCATGGCTTGGCCATAGTGGGAGGGCATCTGTGTAAACCTCCTCGCTTCTCCCCACACAGCTTTTGGCAAGAAATGATATTTAGGGAAATGAAAACATAGGCTAAAGAGTTAGGTTTAGCTTCGTAGGGGTCAGAGAGGGATGGGAAACTTGTTGCCCACGTTGGGTCGGGGGGGATGGGAAATGTGAAATTCCACCTGCCCATAAGTTTGAGTGATTTTTGTTTATTGCCTTGTGGCTTCCTGTCTTGAGAGGACGGGGTAATATACAAGTACGGCCCAACACCAGTTATTTCAGGATCACTTGAAAGCCCCAACCAGGAATTACCCAGGTTCCTTCTTCCCTTGGCCAGGTCCTCTTCCCAGATAGTTAGAGTGGGGAAGGCTGACCTTACTCACGGGGAGGTGGGCTACTCAGACACTTCCTGAAACTAAGGCTTGACATTGTCCCGGGGATTTGCTCATTCCTCCTGGTCCACCCACCCCACTGCCCTGGACTTCAGGCACTTGTGTTTGACTCCAGATTCAGTAGGAAAACTCTCTTGTCAGTGACAAATCTTCCAAGATTCATACTGATTTTGAGCAAATAGAAACTGCTGTAGTTGACGATGCTATAATTTGAATATCTGCGTTCCCTTTAGTTTGAGAAATTTACAAGTGCTACTAGAATCTTGAAAAGGTTTCAGTTTTTTCCTAAAATGAAATAGGCATGAAAATGAAGTAGATATTGCCTCAGTTTTGCCCCTCCTGTGCTGTGACCCTGCCTGCCGCTGCCAAGACTTCCACACCCATCCATCGCGGGGCTCACTTTCCTTCTGGAGTTTGGATCCCAAACCCTGTGGTTAAATCTCCTTCACCTTGTTCACCTCGCAGATGACAGGCCGGGACCTTCTCAAGGATCGAAGCCTGAAGCCAGTGAAGATTGCCGAGAGTGACATTGACGTGAGTGAACTGAGTGGTAGCTGCCCGCTCGCTCCGTCGGCTGCCTGCTGTCCCCAGTCCCGGGGTGGGCAGCTTCAGGAGGGTTTGGAGGGTTCTGTGGCCGGAGGCTTCCTGTTTACACTCCAAGGCCATGCCCTTTCCTCATCATCCCAGGCCCTCTCCAACCTGTTCTTGCTCACAGGTCAAACTGAGCATCTTCTGTGAACAAGACAGGATCCTCCAGGACTTGGAAGACAAGATACGTGCCCTCAAGGAGAACAAAGTATGTATCAGTTTTGCACAATCTTAGGCTGGGTGGGGTAGGAGGTTTGTCTTTTCACAGTCATAGATGGGATGGTATCGAACAACGGGTGTTAGTTTATTTAGAACAATGTCTTTGTGTTTAAAGGGTGTTTCTTAAGGGAGGGAGCGGCTCTTTCTGAACCTGGAGGAAACCTTATAGCAGTGGTTCTCAACTTGTGGGTCGAGACCCCTTTGGGGGTCGAACGACCCTTTCACAGGGGTCGCCTAAGACCATCGGAAAACACATATATAATTACATATTGTTTTTGTGATGAATCACTATGCTTTAATTATGTTCAATTTGTAACAATGAAAATACATCCTGCATATCAGATATTTACATTATGATTCATAACAGTAGCAAAATTACAGTTATGAAGTAGCAACGAAAATAATTTTATGGTTGGGGCTCACCACAACATGAGGAACTATATTAAAGGGTCGCGGCATTAGGAAGGTTGAGAACCACTGCCTTATAGGGAGACCTTGACCTAATACCACTGCCTTCCTCCTCCTACCCCCTTAATTCTGCTCTGGCCCACCTCTCCCTGGAGGCCTGGTGAGGTGAGCCTGGAAGAGGAGGGCCCCCTAGGATCTGGGCTATGGAGGAAACAGTCTGGATGGAAGGGCAGGAGTGGGCCGGGCAGAGTTGGGGGACACCAATGTTTGGTCTCTTAGACACTTAGTGTGAATTTTTTTCTTCGTTGCATTTTGTCAAGGTGTTATATTTGTGATGTTGAAGGTTTATAACATGCCCTTTGTCCTAAGACCTTAAAGAGTTTTCCTGGGCTCTGATTTATCCTCATCATTGATCCCCATAAGGAGTTGATAGCCTTGTGCCCATTTTGTAGACAAGGGAACTGAGGCACATAGCTGTTAGGTGACTTGCCCAGGCCACCCCGTGGGCAGAGTCAGAGCTGGATTCAAAGACCCTGACCCTCAGGCCCCAGCTGGACACTGGCCTTCAGTCAACGGTTAGGTCTTGCAGTTCTGTTTAGTTTCTCGTGTGTGTGGGAGGCCTCCAGGGACTGTCCTTTATGACCTTGCTCTTTGACTCTTGCCCGGTAGGACCAGCTGGAGTCCGTGCTGGAGGTGCTGCACAGACAGATGGAGCAGTACCGAGACCAGCCCCAGCACCTGGACAAAATCGCCTGCCAGCAGAGGTTGCTGCAGGAGGACCTGGTCCACATCCGGGCGGAGCTCTCCAGAGAGTCCACTGTGCGTAGAGGCTGTGGAGGGCACTTCCCTCAGGCTGGGCTGGGCAGAGGGCTGCTCTTCTCATCTCCCCAGCTGTAACCGAATTGGCAGCCAGGGGCAAGAGTCTTGGGGTAGCAGGCTGCCTCCTGGCAGTAGCTTACCCTGTCCAGGGGTGATGTGTCCAAGGTGCCTTAGGGTCCTTTCCATCGGTGACTCCTGCATGACTACAGTGACACCCAGGGGGCCAGATTTCTCAGAGCAGCCTGTAGGCTTTTCCCTGATCTGCGTTAATTCTAAGATGTCAGAATTTCCACTTGACCTGTCCATCTGATGTGGTGCAGGCCCCTTTCTGCCAGGCCTGGGAACCAAAGTGTCCCCAAGGGTGGAGGAGAGGACAGGGCAGATGGCCAGGATCAGAGCGTGAGTGAGAAGACAACCCATGTCTCTCTCACCAGCCCCACCAGACCCCAGGGCTCTCTTCCTCTGCCCCTGGCGGCGGCTGTGGTGAGGAGCACAGGTGTGCATGGGCTTCTGGGGCCAAGGATAGCTAAGAACCAGAGCGTTTCCTTGGCCAACAGGAGATGGAAAATGCCTGGAACGAATACCTGAAGCTGGAGAGCGATGTGGCGCAGCTGAAGCAGACCCTGCAGGAGCAGCACCGAAGGGCCTTCTTTTTCCAGGTGGCTCAAGGGCTCTCTCCCCGTCCTGGGCTCTGATTCCTTGGAGAGCTCCACCCAGGGCCTTCTCTCCTCTACCGGGGCTCAGCCTGCTCACCTCCCCAAGGTCTCCCTCTGGGATCCTTCCCCCAGCAAGGCTGTGATGCCCAGCCCCCCACAGTTCCCACCTCTCTGCTTTTAGACCCATTCTGGGGCGTGTTTATGAGGGTTTTACATTTGGAAAAACAGCCCCAAGAGGAGACAAATGCCAACCTTGAGACCCTCGCTGAGACCCTAGATCAGTGGTTCTCAACCTTGGCCGCACATTAGAACCACCTGGGCATCTTTTTAAAATCCTGATTTCTGGGCCTCATCTGTTGGTTCTTGGCCCATCTTGGCTCCTATCTATTCACTGAGACAGCAGCGGACAGCCCCGCCCCCTTCCTTCCATCCTCTGATTGCTGAAGATAGATGCTATCGAGCCTTCACCTGAGGAGGTAGTGCGCGAATCCAGGAGGTGCCAGGCTAGGAGATACCCATCGCTGTGGCCCCTGCCCTCCTCAGGAAAGGCAGCCTTAGGGCCCAGCGTCCTCTATCCTTAAAAACCAGGCCACCTATTGGCAACTGCCTCTGCCCCCAAAGGTGAGAGAAGAAAGGCCCTGTGTGGTTTTCTTCCTCCCGGTCCAGTCCTCAGATGCCCAGCGCTCGTTCCCTCACTGTGGTTCCACCCTCAACATTTTAAAAATGGAAAGTAACCTGCTTTTGAACCCAGCTTCAGGTCTCTATCTCCTCTTTCAGGCCCTGCGGATTTGATTTTGAGTTCAGCGAGCATTAATTCAGCTAGGCCAGTTTTGATGCTTGGCTTGCTCATGGATAGACTAGTTCTAGCCAAGGCTTCTCACTCAAGTGATTTAATGAGTATGTTGACTCTCCTGACATCAGACTCACCCCAAAAAGAGATGGAAATTCAGGACTGGAAGGCTTTTCCCAGGTCCTGCTGTCCCCCCACTGACCATTGGGCACTGAGTCTAGCGACCCCAATCCAGGGCCACGTGGAGACTCTTGCCTGTGGCTCAGGGCTGGCCTGCTCGGTCCCCAGCTTGTATGTCTCCTGCTGCTGCTGTATTTTTCCTATAATGTCCCTTCATCCAAGCTGTCTAACATTCTCCCATTCTGTTTTGTATCCCCAGCACTTAGTACAGTGGCATGAAAATGCTAGGTGACTATCGACAAAGTCCTTCACACGATTGTTTGTAATTACAGTTTCTTAAACTGTCCTGTTATACATATCTTCTTGGACTTCAATGAGCCACATTAATTTTAGCAGTAATTTTTTTAGCTTCTTATTCCTTATATTTCTATGATTATATAAATCACATGGGAATATGTCTCTCAGAAAAGTCCAAACAATGAGAAGCAAAACCCAAAAATAAAAGCTTTTCTTCTCTCTGCCCTAGACCACCACCTCCCTTGTGGGTAATGAGTGCCTCCAGTTTGCAAAGTCGCCTTCTGACCGTTCTCTTTGCATTTCCAAACACGTGCACATACAGAGTTATTTAATTTATTTGAGGGTGACTGTTTATTTAAAGAGGAATCATTCTAACACCTTGTCCAGTAACTCACTTTTTTGTCATAACTTTATGTGGTGGCAATCTTTCTAGGAAAGATACCCCCAAGTTTATGCTGCCCAATACAGTAGCTACTTAAATTTAAACATAACTGAATTAAAATTAACTAACATTAAAAAGTTGTTCCTCAGTCACACTAGAATCATTTCCACTGTTCAGTAGCCACATGTGGCCAGTGGCTGCTATATTGGACAGCACAGATGATAGATTTCCGTAACCTCAGAAAGTTGTACTAAATATTGTTGGTCTAATTCAGTGATTTTCAAAAGGTATGCCATAAGAATTTTTAAAACATGCGACACTGACTAATTTAGTCAGTGGCACTGACCTCTTTTCCCTTAGATTGTCAAATGAAAAAATGACAACAGCCAACACAACAATAGCTGTCTAGTGTGAGTGAATCTAAATTATACCTATTTTTTTTGTCAGATAGGCAAAATATATATATTTTTTGGTGTGCCGCAAAATTTTAGTAATTAATGTGTGCCACGAGATGAAAAAGTTTGAAAATCGCTGGTCTATGCGATTTTGAAATTAAATTAGTTCTTCACGGCTGCATAGAATTTTGTAGTCTGGACAGTTCATCCTTTGCTTAGCCATTCCTCCTCTGAGGGGCATTGAATGTTATTGGCAGTGTTTTGTTTTTAGAAAAGGTGCCACAGTGAGCATCTGTGTCACTGCCTTTTCAAGCTCTATTATGAGCGTTCATCTAAGGCAGGTCCCTGGGAGCAGACTCAGTGGGTTGAAAAGAGTGTGCATCTTCGTGTGGCTGGACGCTGCCGGATCGCTCTCTAAAAGGCTGTTCTCATTTGCCCTCCCACCCACATGAATGAAAGTACGGAACCCGTCTACCCACATCCTTGCCAGCACTTGATGTTATCACTCTTTTTAGTTTTTGCGTCTACTTGCTGAAAAAGGACATCTTGTTTTAATTTGCATTTATTTACTTACCTCGTAGGTTAAACATCTCTTCATGTGATTATGGGCCAATTGTATTTCTACTGCAGAAATTTCATGGTGACATAACATAGGGCAGGCCCAGAAACCTTCTTTCCCCTCCACAACACAAATGGGTACAATGTACAGGTCTTGTCACAGACTCCCTAGTAAGTGACTGAAACATAGGCCGGTTTGGAGCCTGGTCCCTGCTGCTCGATATGCATCTACCTGGTGGCCCTGCTCACACTTTCCCTGATACCTCAGTGACCGGAAGCTCACAAAGCCCTTCTTTGAGCAGACTCTGTGTTCACTTTGGTGTAATTCAAGGCCAGGCAAGCTGTTGAATAGAGTCCTGAATAAATCATTAACACTGGAAACACACACATTCTCAGTAGTGGGCCTGGAAGCTCGCCTCCCTTTAGCCAGGTTTGGCTATGAGAAAATCCATAGCCTTTTTATTGCAGACTAGAGGCCCAGTGCACAAAATTTGTGCACAGGGGGAAAGGGGTCTCCTCAGCCCAGCCTGCACCCTCTCCAATCCGGGACCCCTCGAGGGACATCCTTCTCACAATCCTGTACTGCTGGCTCCTAACCACTCACCTGCCTGCTGGCCTAATCGCCCTTCACTGCCTCCCCCCCCCCCGCCTGATTCCCCCTCACTACCCCCCCTGCTGGCCTGGTCGCCCCACGCAGCCTGCTGTTTGGTTGTCCATCGGTTGTTTTGGGTCGTGACGGCTCCTGGCTTTTTATATATTAGGATGAGTGGCTTTATTTATAAAGATTCTGATGGCCACCTGGGTGGGGAAGCCAGAGGATCAAAGAGCATCTGGGTAACATGTGAGAGGCAGTGAGCGGCGAGGCTCCCTGTAGGTGTCCAATGAGTCAAGCCTTTGCTGAGTGTAGTACACAGCAGCCATCCTGCCCAGCCTGGCATGAGGATGCAGGAATGAAACCCCACTGCCTTGCTCCCCAAAAGCTTCCTTTGCCTCGTCATTAAGTTCTGAAATTCCATCGCCCTTGGAGAAAGATAGAGGTTCTCTGGCCTGCGCTCCTCTCTGCTCTTCTCTTACGGGTGGGGTGACAAGGGCAAAGTGGGGGCAAGGTTGCGAACTACTGGCAGGAGAAGTGTGCCAGGGAGACTGCCGGGGGGGGCGGGGTGATACTAATCCCATGCTCCCCCTTCCCCTGCTGCCAGTACTCTGCCTGGGGACCTCGGCTCTAGAGATAACCCTGTTAGCTTGTACCTGTACTCTGGGCTCACAGACACGTCTGCTTTAGGACACTTGTGCTTCAGTGAGGAGCCGAGCCTCAAGTTCATTATTGGCTTGTCCGCCCTGAGGATGTGCGTGGGTGTATTAAAGGTGGGGAGAGTGTGAGAGGCTGAGCTGCTAGGAGGGAGGCCTTGGGCGTCTGTTGTCACAGCTGTTGGACAGTATTTCACCAGGGACTTTATCTGATTGGTCCTTTATCATTCAACATACATGTACTAAGGACCTGCTGAGAACTTGCCTCTGGGGGGTGGATCGGGGAGCACATTGTCTAGTTGTAGAATCAGACATGGCCATAAGCATGGCGCATGCGGGAACTCTTCTGGCTGAGTGTGGCCGGGGATGTGAAACTTTCTGTCTTCCCCCATGGTAATTTAAAAGCTGAAAGAATGGTCTATTTGATGTTTAAACGACTCTATTGAAAGATGCCCACCATCCCTTAACCACTACAGACCCCACTCGCGTCTTTCTAGGGCCTCTTCCCAGCCGGTTTTGGTTGTGACTTGTCAAGTGTGCCTATGGTCCTATAGCCTGGCTCTTTCCCAGTTCTTTAAAAAACAACAGCTTTGCCATAGCTGGTTTGGCTCAGTGGATGGAGTGTTGGCCTCGGACTGAAGGGTTCTGGGTTTGATTCCGGTCAAGGGCATGTGCCTCAGTTACAAGCTCAATCCCTGGCCCGTTGAGGCTTATGCGGCAGGCAGCCAATCGGTCTTTCTCTCTCTCTCTCTCTCTCTCTCTCTCTCTCTCTCTCTCTCTCCCTCTCTCTCTCTCTCTCTCTCTCTCTCCCCCTCCCTCCCTCCCTCCCTCCCTTCCTTCCTTTCTTTCTTTATTTATTTCTTTCTTTCTTTCTTTCTTTCTTTCTTTCTTTCTTTCTTTCTTTCTTTCTTCCTTCCTTCCTTCCTTCCTTCCTTCCTTCCTTCCTTCCTCCCTCCCTCCCTCTCTCTCTCTCTCTCTCTCTCTCTCTCTCTCTCTCTCTCTCTCTTATCCCCTCCCTTCCACTTTCTAAAAATCAATGGAAAACTATCCTTGGATGAGGATTAACAAAATAAAATTTAAAAATAACAGGCTTATTATATAATTCCCTCTTAAAGTATACAGTTCATTCGTTTTTAGAATATTCAGAGTTGCGTAACCATCCCCACAATATTATAACAACTTCATCATCCCCCAAAAGAAACCTTGTACCTATTAACGATCACTCCCCATCCCCACCCTCAATCCCTACTCCTGCTCTAGCCAATCACTAATCTACGTTCTTTCTTTCTGGATTTACCTATTCTGGACATTTATATAAAATGGAATCATACAATCTGTGGCCTTCTGTGTCTAGCTTCTATCATGCACCATAATGTTTTCCAGGTTCGTCCATGTAGCATGTGTCAGTACGTCGTTCCCTTTTATTGCCAAAAATGTCTACAGCCCATAGTACTCTGAACTACTAGTAAACTTCACGTCCCAGGATTAACTGTCTTTTAAAAGATGCTCTTTATAGTCTAGGGAAGGCGTAACCTCTAGTCCTTGCCTTCTCTTCCCTTATGCCAAAGTTGCCTGAGATGGTCTATTTTTTAAAATTGTGGTAAAATGTACATAGCATGAAATTTACCACCTTCACCATGTTCCAGTGTACAGGTTGGTAGTGTTAAGTGTATTCACATTGTTGTGCACCCATCTTTGCACAACTCTTTGTCTTGCAGACCTGGAATTCCGTACCCAGGAAATAACAATCCCATCCCCCCCTTCCCCAGCATCCGCACCCACTCTCTACTTTCTCTCTGAATCTGACAGCCTTCATGCCTCACATAAGTGGAATCCTACAGTGTCTAAGGCAGCCTGTTTCTAAATGAGGTGGAACTAGGCGAGGTGGACTTGTGAGAGCGCCCCTGAAATTTCTCTCCTGGGCCTTGAGCATCCTTCGTGCCTGCGCTTCCCCGTGAAGCCGTGGAGCCGGCTGGGCTCTAGCCCTGGTGCAGCTTCCCAAGGAAATGCTCCCCGCCGAGGGTGAGGGGCCCTGTCTGAAATGACAGCACAGGTCCTATGAAAAAACGTCTCGTGAGGAGCTAAGAAGGACGTGAACCGCTGCTCGTCTTCCGTAGGAGAAATCGCAGATACAGAAGGATCTCTGGAGGATTGAAGACGTCACCGCAGGCCTGAGTGCGAACAAGGAGAACTTCAGAATCCTGGTGGAGTCGGTCAAAAATCCTGGTGAGTGGGCCGTCTGCTGGGGGCCAGTGCCCAGGCAGGAGGGGTGGCCCCGGGCATCAGGTCCTCCTGTGTGTCACTCCTTCGGGAAGTAGGTCTTGGTTCCATCCTATCCTTTGCTTCCCTCTATGCCCCTTAGAGAGAAAAACAGTGCCTTTGTTTCCCCACCCGCCTGTGCCTTCACTCTCGACTTCTGAGAGCAAGCCGCCCCCGCAGCCCAGCCCTCCCACCAGCCCTGTGCGGACCCCTCTGGAGGTTCGGCTCTTCCCTCAGCTGCAAACCTACCTGCCCTACCGACCTCACCCGCCCCAGCTGAGGAAGGTGACGTCTCCTCTTCAGTCACCAACCAAGACGAAGCCCAAAGTTGTAAGTATGATGACCAGGACCAGGAGCTGGCACCGTCTTTTCCTCTCTGTTCTCAGGTCAGCTTCTCTCGGGAGAGAAGTTTTTAGGGAAATGGCGGGGTGGGGGAGATAGGACCAGCCGAAGTCCTGAGCCATGAGAGGTTAAGGAGTGGAAGGATCCTGCCATTGGACCTCAGACTCCCAGAATTAGAAGGTGCCCTTGGATATAAGCTAGCCCAACCCTCCCATTTCACAGCTGGGAAAAATGAGGCCCAGAGAGAGGAAGTGACTCTGCTGAGTAGGTAGAATCTGCACCGTGCAGATAGGGGTGTGGCTGCTCCTTGCAAATCTGCAGTTACACCTGTTTGTGGGCAATGAGCTCATCTCAGCAGAAGAGGCTCCCTTATCTTCACCTACAGGTGAGCATGCTGCTGGGTAGTAGGTACAGTTGAGCCTCAAAATAACCTCAGGAGTACAGACAGGAAGGTCAGTATCCCCATGCCACAGATAAGAGAACTGAGGCCCAAAGGTGTTAAATTTGCTTAAAGTCTCATTGTTGGTTAGTAGAGTCAGCACATCTCCTGATCATTCCCTGTGCCATCTGCCATCTTATCGGACATTCGCCCCAGGTCCCCAGGTCAGGTTTGTGGCCCTGTGACTGCCTAACCCTGCACCTTGGCTTGCCTGGCACAGAGAGAGTCCAAGCCCTTGGCAGAGTCTGGGACAACAGGAGACGTTAAGGAAATAGAAGATGTGGTCGGGTACCAGGATAGCTCAAGTCTCCAAGGCCAGGCCAGCTCTGGCTGGAGAACCCAAGGGGTCTAGTCCAAGTGACTGGAGAGCCATGGCAGAGGGCACCTTGGAAGGGGACCTCCAGGATTTTGCTTGGAGGAGCTTTGCCTGGGCACCATGTGTGCCTAGTGCCTGTGACGATTGCACAGCAGTGGCTTAAACACACCAGTTCCCAATCCCGTCCTCACCATCTACCTGCCATGGCCCAAGGCCCAGAGCTGGAAGACAGGTGCCAGGACTCAGGGTCACTGTGAATGTCTTTATCTTAAGATCTCCCTCCTCATCCCAGAGCTAGGAGGCCCGGAGCACCAGCCACAAACAGGAGGTAGAAATAGCGAATTAAACAGGAGTGGCTGGGGAAGACGGCTGCTGACATAAGGCCGGCACCTGCCAGCCGGGACCAGCAGCAGAGGGAAAGGCTGCTAGCCTGGGAGCCGGACCAGCTGGATTCCAGCCCCTGTTCTCTCTGGGTCCTCTCTGAGCTTCCTCAGTTTCCCCGTATGCACAGCAACCAGCTCTGACTAGACACAGGCCCATCTTCACAGCTTGGTCCTCCGTGGCTCGGGGGCGGGGCTTTTCCCACTGGGTCAGCATCACGGCCAATGGGGGTCTTCTTCCCCTCCTCTGGTAATGCATGTGTGTTCACCAGTTTCGCCATGTTTTTTATTATTGTTTGCTCTCTTTATATTTATATTTGTGAAATAATGACAACCTGAAATTGACGTAAAGCATGAATATATCACTTAACACGTATTAATAAAGAGACCACCCACGTTATACTAACACCCAGACTAAGAAATAGAGCTTTGCAGCAGCCAGAGCCCTCAGGCCTGCGGGCTCCTTCCCCGTGCAAGGCCCCTTCTGCCAGAGGTAGCCACTGGCTTGGCATTTGGGATCATTTCCTTGCCTTCTTTAAGTTTTGCTACCTATGTTTGCATCTTTAAATACTTTAGTTTCGCCTGTATTTATTCTTTTGTATCTTGCATCTTTTCTTCAATATTATACTTGTGTGATTCATCCCCATTATTGCATGTAGCTGTAGTTCTTTTCTTTTTATTTGGCTTAGTTTCTTGAATTTAATGTCACTTACCTCTTTATTAGATAATCCTCTCAAAGGGCACAAAATCAAAAGATATGAAACAATACAGAATAAAGCCCCCCCCCCCACCCCCCGCCCTCTGTCTCCAGACATCCTATTGCCTTCCATCAAGGGCAATCAATGTTTTGTGTTTATCATTCTGGGGAGCTTTTTAGAAATTGGTGATTCTGAGACCTTTGTCAGGGTTGGAAACCGGGATGCTCAGAGAGCCTGTGGGCAGAGCATTCACACAGTGATGAAATGTGTTGCATAATAAGAATTCTGCTAAGCCTTTGCAAGGCAAGCTTGCAGCGCCCTTTCCCGAACTCTGCAAAATTCTGAAAAACAAAGCAAAATGAGACTAAGAAAGAGGGCGTTTAGGAGGAAGGGGTCTCAGTAGTCACTTGTCCCAGGACTAGGTGTCCATGGCAGTGGGGAGCCAGGCTGTCGATCCATAGAGAAGCCACGGCCCTCAGAGAGGGTCATGGACCAGGCGGGGCGGGGGCGGGGGTGTGTGTGTCAAGGAAAATAGTGACATTCATCATCGGCAGGGAGTGGGCTGCGGGGCAGACAGTGAGTCTCCCGTTCTGACCGCCTGTTCAGCCCCCAGGTCAGGAAGGAGGAAATACTTTGTGACCGTTCACATTTCTGATAGGGCAGGAGGAGGGAGACTGTCCTTGCTCAGCTCTCCACCGGCTGAGGGGTCCTGAGACCAGGCAGGAACGGTGCGCTCAGCCTGAGCACTGTGGAGAGGGCTGACAGGGAATGTGTGTGTGTGGGGGGGGAATGCTGTCATAGACTTACCAGTAAGTGCAGGGTTGCCAGCCTGCTCCCCCTATGGTGCATTCCAGGCGAGTAGAGACCTGAGTTCTGGATTTGGGGACGCAGTATAGGCAGCACTTTGAAAAATGGAAAATGCAACTCAAAGGGAAGAACGGATTTGGAGCCAAGGTGTCACCTTCTTCATGGCTCTGCCAGGGGGAATGTTGGCACCTCTGGGCTGAAGTGGCTGTGCTCTTCAGGCCTGGGAGGGGGGCCGGTTCCGGCCATTGGGCCACCACTGGGGTGGGGCCACCGGGCCTCCGCCCTCCAGCTCCCTCCCACGGGCACTTTCCCTGAGCAGGAAGACGAGGCACCTCCCAGGCCCCCACTCCCTGAGCTCTACAGCCCGGAGGACCAGCCCCCGGCCGTGCCGCCTCTGCCCAGGGAGGCCACCGTCATCCGGCACACTTCCGTGCGGGGCCTCAAGCGGCAGTCGGACGAGAGGAAGCGAGATCGGGAGCAGGGGCAGTGTGTGAACGGGGACTCGAGGGTGAGCGGAGAGGACCCTGGGCTGCCCACTGGGTGGGGAGAGGGAGGGTGGTGGTATGCTGGGCAGGTATGACGGCCTCGGACTCTGCTCGCAGGTGGAGCTCCGGTCCTACGTTAGTGAGCCCGAGCTGACGACTTTCGGTGGGGACGTGGCCCAGCCTCCCCTGGGGCCCGCGGGCTCTGAGAGCAGGTACCAGACGCTGCCCAGCAGAGGTAAGTCACCACTCTCCACGGAGGCTTCTGGGGACCCCAGCTCTGCCGATCATTGCTCCCCAACCCTCACCTGGTGCCTCTCACCCTTCTACCTGCAGCGTTGGACCTTTGGCCCCAGCTGCACGGGTTCTGGGCTTCTGGGGGGGCCTGTCGTTCCTTTCTCGGGCCCACATACTGGTTCTCTTTCTCTTTATTACATCTGTTCCTGGGCATAACGCTAATAGCAATTGCTATAAAGCTCGGCACTGTGTTGAGTTAAGCCCTTTATAATCATTTCGTTAATATTCATAATCTATGAGGGCAGTACTATTATTATCTCCATTTTAGAGATAAGAGAGCTAGGGCCCAGAGAAATTAACTTGCTAATTAGCTAAAGTGTTGGAGCCGGATTCCAGCCCAGTGTTCTGGCTGCAGAGCGGCGGCAGCGTAGGCTGGGAGAGCGGTAACCAAGGGCCTTTAGAGGGTTATGCCCTCTTTGTCACTCTAGCACCCAGTGAACCCTTTCTTTACACAGACACACTTCTCTTCCATCGGGTCTTCTTCTCACTCTCACTGTTCCCATGGGGATGGGAACAGACTTAGGCCCTTAGGCTCACTCGTAGCTCATTTTCCCCAAAGCCAGACCCTCTTCCTCAGAAGTCTCCATACAGGGAGGCCTCCTGGAGCCCCTGAGCAGGCAGACCATGCTCCCGCCTCTGACCCTCCTGTCTGCTTCCGGAGGCGGAAGGTCAGGTGCTTTTCCCCCCTTGGCCAGGTGGACGGACACATAGCTGGGTGTGTGACTCCCACCTCACCACACTGTCTAGGCTACTGTGGCCTGAGCTGGTCCCTGCTGAGTTGGCCATGGCTGCCCTTGATACTGTGCCCGGAGGCCTTGCAGCCTTCCTTCATTATGGCCTGGAGGTGTTTCTCAGTGACAGTATTGGTGACATTGTGGGCAGGGCAGTTCTTTGTTGCTTGGGATTCTCTGGACATGGTAGGACATTCATCATTGTCTTTCCCATGTGCTATGTGCTGGTGGTGCTCTCGTCAGGGTGTGAGGACCACTCCTGATAAGAATCATTGCTCACGTAGAAAGCACAGGCTGTGGCAGCAGCCGGCCAGGGTGAGATGACTCCTCAGAGCCGTAGGACCCAGACACAGGAAGCACATGTCAGTGAGGCCCCTGCCATGTACCTTGGACAAATCTCTTAACCTCTGTGAGCCTTAGATCGGGCAGCTCTACCATGGTCAAGTGATGCTTACTGTGTAGGACCAGTAGGACCATCTACATAGCAGTGCCCGACATAGTACGTGCTCAGTAAATGTTTGGTGCCTTCTTCTATCCCTTCATCCGTTTCCTCATTCAGTCAGCCAACCAGGCATTGTTGGATTTGCAGTCTAGTTAGAACACTGTCTGTGGTCAGTAACCAGTGCATATGCTGAGGGGTATTGGGAATAGTTGGTTCTGTCTCAGCATTTCAGGGGCCTGCACACAGGCAGGATATCTGAACTGGGTCATGCAGGATGCTGAGAGCTCAGCAGCAGGAAGGGGTGAAGGGTATTCCGACCCCTCCATCCTTTCCATCCTCTGCATGTGAGGGAAGACTAGGGTGGTCCACAGATCTCTAGGGACACTGTCCCCCATTGGAGACAGAGGGCACCCCTGGACTGGCCCCTCATCCTCTACCTGGGGCCTTGCTCTTCCAGGCCCTGGAGAGGAAGAACAGTGGGTTGTTGGCTGAGCCCCCATGGTCCCGTCACGGCCGTGGGAGGTGCTTGGGGAGGGGCTGGTGGCCTGGCCACTCCACCACCAATACACTCGCCTTTCTCTTTCCTCCCTAAGGGCTCTCGGGGTCCACATCAAGGCTCCAGCAGTCGTCCACCATTGCGCCCTACGTCACCCTCCGGAGGGGTCTGAATGCCGAAAGCAGCAAGATGACCTTCCCTGTGAGTGGCCTTGAGAAGTTTCCGAGGAGCTCTCTGCTCCCTCACGCACAGAGGGACGGGCTCCGCGGTGGACGGTGACGGCGATCCTGTGAGGCCTGGGATGGTCTCTGAGGTCGTCTCGGCTCCTCCTGAGCTCAGGGCCCCAGTCACCATGTGCTCCGTGATGTCTCCCCCACAGTCCACCAAGAAGGGCATCACGCTGCCCTTTCTGTTTCCTGAGGACACCCCCCACCTCTCTCCCCAGCCTGTCAGGCTCAAAGGAGGGAGCCCAGGAAGTCTGCACCCTGGGTTCTGACCCCACCACGTGCCGCCTGTATGCCTGACTGGACAGGCCTGGGCCTCAGTGTCTGCATCTGCAGAATGGGCTGCTGCCCAGGAAGCCCGAGGGGCCAGGGGCATCGTGTCGATGAGTAGGCTTAGAGACAGTGGTTCTCCACGGCCGAGAGGAGCCCAACTAGATAGAGTGTGTTTGTGTGTGAGAGAGAGGGACAGACGGACACAGAACGGGCATGAAGCCGCCATGTGGCTGCCCTGTGTGTTCCCAGCCCAGCTGCCCTGTCTCTCGCCTCTTCCTCCTCAGAGACCCAAGAGTGCCTTGGAGCGTCTGTACTCAGGGGACCACCAGCGGGGCAAGATGAGTGCGGAGGAGCAGCTGGAGCGCATGAAGCGGCACCAGAAGGCCCTGGTCCGGGAGCGCAAGAGGACCCTGAGCCAAGGAGAGAGGACGAGCCTGCCCTCGTCTCGCTACCTCAGCCACCCGCTCCCTGGAGATCTTGGCTCAGTATGTTAGGAGGGTCCAGGCAGGTGGGGCCGGGACAGGGAGCAGAGCTTCCCCGTGTCCCCCGAACACTAGCACGTCACACCCCTGGGAGAGTGGGCCGCTGACCTAGAGGATTCCGAGAGCTCCTCCCGGGGCTGTTCTGTTTGCACGCTGGGACACGTGTGTGGCCGGGTCAGAGGGTGATGGGGAAGCAGAGCTGGAGTGAGGATGGCACTGCAGGCGTCACGGAGCCTGAGGAAATGTCCCGTCAGTTCTCTGAGTGGAGCTTGACAGCGGCCTTTGTAGACGTTTGGAGTGTCAGCTGAATCAAGGACTTGGGAATAGGTACTTGGTTTGAGGATTCAAGGAGTGGAGGAGGAAGATGGTGAGACGGTATGGTGAGGAGGAGCACAAGCCCACCAGCCTCCCAAACCCCCACGCGGTTGCCCTATGGGGCCGCTGAGCGCAGGGTCACGCCCCACACCCCAGGGCTGCGGTCTCCTGCTGCTTGTGGTGCTCACAGGTCCATGGTGCCCAGAGAGAGCCGGGGAATGTGTGCTGCCCCTGGTGATGCTTCCAGGTACTGCATCCCGCCCACAGCCGCCTTAGGTCCGATTTGGATACATACATCCATTTGACTTTCTCCTGTTTGAAATCAAGTGTTTCCCTGGACCGCTAGCCTGACTGTCCTTTCCCTGATTCATTGCACAAGCTCTTCTGCTTTTCGCGTTACCGCTTGCGCATTGCCTCTCTAACCCTGCCTGATTGTGTTTACAGAAGCTTCTAATTTGCAGTGAACGTTCTCTAACTGGCCTGTGCTCTTTGCTACCAGGCTTATCATAGCAGCTCTTGTCTCCATAGCCTAGCGAGCACTCCCATGTGACTCACCTTTCCGCTGCCCCCTCCGTGCAGGGCCTACTGACTCACAATTAATTCCCTCGTCCCAGAAGCTGCCCTGCGAGACGGAGCCACCCTGCCGCCCAAGGGCCATGGTCACTGGCAGAGGCCTGGGCATTATGAACTTACCAAAGTCCATGTCTCACGTCTAGTTAGTAGACACGGACCTCAGAGATTGTACATTTGAATAAATTCTATCAAGTCTAAGTTGGTTTGCTTTTAATTCCTCCAGTCCCATGGCACAATTCTAATGGAAAACTTTTTTGTGTTTTTAGTACTTAATAACTTGAACAGATAGTGAGCTATAGTATGTTCTGTATGTAGAGGGTCCCTTTGCAGCTGTTAGCTCAGACACCAAAGGGGGAAGTCCCAGGACACTCATCTCCTGAAAAGCTGCAAAGCCAGTAACTTTTAAACTTTATAAGCAAATGTCATGTGGGGGAACACTGACCTTTTACAAACTAATGTCTCAAGTGTAGAAAGGTTATCTGAAAATCGTAACTTGAATACCTTGTAATTTTTCTCTTAAAAAAGAAAGGACTTGTGTAAGTCTCTGTATCGACGCCAATAAACGTGTTGCTAATAATAATGGATTGGCGTGGTTCTTCCCCAGGACACACCGCAGAGCCTAGTGGCCTTTCTCTGTTTGTGGAAACAATCAGGCTGGGTTTAAACGAGGACTTCTCTCTCTATCTGGGCCACACGTGAGCCTGTAAAGAAATGTGCTTTTATTTCTTTTGTGAATCATTAAATTCATTTTTTCATCCCTGAAATGTCAACTGCCTAATCCTTTTCATACTGTGATTGGAAACCTAAGCGCGATTAGATTGGCTTGGCATCAGTATTGAGAGCTTGTGCATGAATGGGTGAAATGTGCTGATACTGGCTATGGGTTTGGGGCTGTGGGGGCACTTGAAGCATCATCAAAGACAATCCTGACCACTGGGGGCTCTGTGAGGTGGGTGGTGTGGGAGGGAGGGAGGAGATGACCTGGGATGGAGAAGCATCTGTTCAGTTTCTGCTCAAGAGAAGAGAGGCTTTGAGCCTGTTCCATCTGCTCAAAACCTGCTCAGCGTCAAAGGCCTGTGAGGATGCGGGCCACACAGGGCTGCCTCCAAGTCGCACAGTTGTCCTTGCATCTTTAAATGGCCAGTTAGATTTTCCCTGTGTGAGGAGACACTTGTTAAAAGGTCGATACCGCAGAACAGCCTTGAACATGTTGCATTTGATCTAGCATTTCAGTTTTACATGTCTTTGTTTCTTTTCTAACTTAAAGGAAACTTTTGCCCCACATAGATGCCTTGATACACAACAGTTTATCTGCTTCACTGACCCCAAGCTGCTCCCGCTCGGGCCCCCCCAGCCCCGCTGTGGGTGCTGTAGGCCCAGCCCTAAAGGTATCCTGTTGAGACTCCCCCTTACACAGGCTCTCGGCTATTCTTCTTGCTCACCAGGGCCTCAGAGGGCTTGTTTCTTCCATGATTGCTGAGCTGGGACGTCTGGCTCCTGCACCAGAATGCTCCCCCGACTCTGGGGCAGCAGGAGAGGCAAATCCCTTCTCCAGAATTCTCCCAGGTTGTGTAGGTGTCACCCTCTTGAACCTGGGAGCCTCCTGTATCCCTGGGGACCATGTGAGTCTAAAGTCATGGGTCTTGGACCTGTGCCCTGGGGATCATGTTTGAACCCTCGGGGGCCTAGAGCAGAAAGAAATCGGCAGTCTGGAGTCAGGCCATCTAAAAAGGACAGAGGCCCCGTTCTCCATTCCTCGGAGAGGTACAGCATACAGCAGGGATGCCCGTGTCATAAAACGGCTGCCTCGCTTTAGAGATGAGGTTGAGTTCCAGGGTCACATAGCTCCACCCGATTGGATCACAGGCGCATCTTCCCAAGGACCCCAGGGCCTGCAAGACCCTTCAGAAGGGGACCGGCTGGCTGCGGCAGCCATCAGGGAGCGACTACACTTAACCCTCTTGTTCTGTTGCCAGTGGAAGCGCGAGCAGGACTTTGACCTGCAGTTGCTGGACCGCGCCGTGCAAGGGGAGAGGAAGGACGAGGAGGAGAATGGCTGGTTGAAAGTGCAGGCCGTGCCTGTCACTGAGTTGGACCTGGAGCCGCAAGACTATGACTTGGACATCAGCAGAGAGGTGAGGGCAGGGGCTTCCTTCATGCTGCCCCAGGAGGCACGGCCCTCAGGCTCCCAGCCTGACCTGCCCTCCTCGGGGCCCTGGGGGGTGTTGTCCTCAAGCGGGGATAAGGCTCAGCTTCAGTGTGGCCCAGGAGACAGGATGGATAGCAGCTTGAGGCAATAAAAGGAGCCCAGTGTTTCGATGCAGATTCAGATCTCTGTAATTTGGGGCAAGTCATGTACCTGCTCTGTGCCTCGGTTTCCTCAGTGGTGAAGTGGGTTGTGATGAGGATTAACTGATTCCATGGGCTGCCTGGAGGATCAGCAATGATCAGAAGGCCATGAGCACCAGGCCTGGCACAGCGCAGGCATGGAGTGAGGTAGTTATTGTTAGGAGATGTTCCTTGCAAAACCCAGCTTTGGCCTTGCCACTGGCCTCTCAGGCCGACTTGGGCAATCAGACTTCAGAAAAACGGGCGGGTTTGAAAAACACAGGTGACATTTCCAGCCAAGGCCGGAGTTATAGACCTGCGTAGTTCTGGTTTGAATTCCTTTGGCGCCCTCTGGTGGCCCCAATGCATCATGACCGGCAGGCCTGTAACCCCCGGGTGGGATTAATTACATACAGATTCAACATGTCTCTACCTAGAAGAGAAAGGGAATCAGAGGGTGACAGCTGCAGTCCTCAAGACATAGGGTGGTCTCCTGTGACCCCCATTGTGTCATTTGTAAGCTCCTTAGGGCAGATTCTAATGGCTGGTTGGTTCACTTTTGCCCCAAACACCAGGCCAGCACATAACGGGTGCTCTGTAACTCTTTGCTGAATGAGGACTCTGTTGAATGAAACACAGTGGCCCACAGATACCCCAAAAACATTTGTCCGAGGACTAGCCAGGCCTGAAGCTGCATGAGGAAATGTGCTCGCCACACAAAGGGCATAGCAGTGTTGGGGGGCAAATTGACGCCCCGGAGGATGAGTTCTGGGGTCAGCTGGAGCGCCAGGGATTAATGAGTCCCCCGCCCTCAGACCTATTGCCTCTGAAGCAGCCAAAGGTCAGTGCTTTCTCAGGTTCACAAAAGAAGCTTCTGCATGCTGCCCGGGCAGTGAAAGTGTATTCTGTGGTGTCCTCGTTGCCTGCCAGCCAGGGGAAAAAGTCCTTCCTTATCTCTAACCTAAATCCCTCCGCTACAATGTAATCTACTTCCTTCCTCTGGATCTGTCCTCATTGGAAGCCACAGAGAAGAGCTTATTTCTTGCCACCTTTCACTAGAAGGAAAGGGCAGCCTGGGTTTAAATTCAAGTCCAGATTTGCCCTGGGATTGGATTTAGCTTGTTTTTAGAAGCTTCAACCAACCCCACTTTTTTTTTTTTAAATCTAAGAAGACATGTTTTTATTGTTAAACAACATGTATTTTACAATAGGACAAGGATACACAGACTAAAACAGCAGGGCTCCCCCGCGCAGCCCGAGCCACACCGGAAGCCGCTGAGAACCACTTAGTGCTCTGACAGCAGCTGTCCCTCTCCTGTGCTGTTGTCGTTCAAGGAGGGAAAATCCCCCGGGGCCTGCAAAACTGGCCTTGAGCGGTCTCAGCCCCAGCGACACTGTCGAGACTACTGAAGCTGAGGCTGCTCCTGGGTTCACGTGAAAGGCTGGTGGGCAGGGGTTGGGACGTTTTCCTCTAGAAGGAAACAGACAAGCACGGCTGCCTCCTGTCTAGCTCAGAGGAGCTTTCGTAGGGACGGAAAGCACTGTCGCCACCCAGCCATCCCTCCACCTGCACACCTGCTCACCCACCCATCCATCTACCCACCCACCCACCCACCCATCCACCTACCCACCCACCCATCTACCCACCCATCTACCCATCCACCTACCCACCCACCCATCGACCCACCCATCCACCAGCCATCCAAGGAGTATTTGCTGAGGGCTACTAAGTGCTAGGTCCTTGTTCAGACAGCAGCAGGTTGTAGCAGGCAGGGTCGGAAGGCTTCTCGAGGTGCGGGTGGAATGATGAGGCAGGGTCAGTGGAGCGAAGGAAGAGCATCCCAGGCGAGGATGGTCATTTCTGTCCTGAGGGCTTCTAGCCCAGTTGTTTTCCCTCCCGCTCCCCTCCCCTGTAGGAGGCTGTTGGGTGGAGTGGAAAGAACATGGTTTCTGGAGTCGCACCCAGCTTCCGATCCTGACTCCTCAGTAGGCTGCCATTGGGATCTTAGCAAGCCCACCTCTGAGGGCAACGCATGCTTCCTCGTGGTGAGGGACAGGGTGTGGGAGTGGGTCCTGAATGCAGATATCTGAACGCCACCCCTTCCCCCCCGCATGGCCTCCTGGTCCTCTCCTCAGCTGTCCAAACCAGAGAAGGTCTCCATCCCTGAGCGTTACGTGGATCTGGACCCTGAGGAGCCGCCCAGCCTGGAGGAGCTGCAGGCGCGGTATCGCAAAGCTGAGAAGATCCGCAGCATCCTCACCCGGTCCAGGTCAGCCCTCCCGCTGCCCGTGTCTTGACGGCCTGCCAGGCCCCATCCCATGGGTGTCTCAGTGGAGTAGGTCTGGGCCAGGCTGGCTAAGGTGTGTGTTTCGCCAGCTTCCTCCCCATTGGAAAGGGCGGGCTGGCGCTCAGTGCATCACCAGCACCTCATCGAGGAAGCTGGCCTAGGCCACCTGGGAAGCCCTCAAAGAGAAGGCCTCTCCTGTGTCCCGTGACCCTGGCATGTGTGGGGAGCGGAGCCAAGCATGGCTGTGACGTGGACACAGTTGGGGCTCCAGCATTAGGGCCCGTGTAACCTCACACAGACCCATAGACCAGAGCCAGGCGCCCCAGCCTTGTTCTGAGGCACCAGACTTTCCCACTTCCTGGGATGCTAGGGCCCTAAGAAGTGGCTTCCCTGTTCCCTCAGCCTCCATAAACCTCACATGTGCAGGCCTCCCTTTCAGAGCTCAGTTAGCCTTTGCACATCTGGATTTAGCAGGAGCCTGGACCTGGCGCTCTGATCTTGAGTTCTGTGATTCCCCAAAGGAAGAGCAAAGCTGTGATTTTGGGGGTATTTGCAGAGAAGCACACACACCTTTGTCTAGTCTAGAGAGAAAGTGCACTGTTTTTTGTTTGTTTTTAAATATATTTTTATTGATTTCTGAGAAGAAGGGAGAGGGAGAGAGAGATAGAAACATCAATGATGAGAGAGAATCATTGATTGGCTGCCTCCTGCATGCCCCCCACTGGGGATCGAGCCCACAACCTGGGCCTGTGCCCTGGCTAGGAATCAAACCAAGACGTCCTGGTTCATAGGTTGAAGCTCAACCACTGAGCCACGCTGGCTGGGCGAAAGTGCACTGTTTTTATCAATGCCCCCTACAAGGATGAGAGCCCCAGGCCAGGAGACACCCTCCCCCGGAGGCAGATGGTGGGGTGGCGAGGGCCCACCACCTGCTCTCTGGCCATCCTGCAGCATGTGCAACCTGCAGCCGGCCTCAGGCCAGGACCGGAGGAACAGCGTGGCCGACCTGGACTCACAGATACAGGAGCAGGAGCGCATCATCAACATCTCCTATGCCCTGGCCTCCGAGGCCTCCCAGCGCAGCAAGCAGGTGGCAGGTGAGGCCATGGAAACTGGGTCCTGCTCGCTGCCCCCTGGGACTCGGGGCCAGTCGGGGAGTCTCCGTGGAAAACCCGGTGTCGGGCATGGTGGCTGGGGGCCAGTGGTGTGTTCTCCTTTCCCACAAGCACTGCAGGGCAGGGAAGATGATGTGGGGCAGGCTGAGCATTGGGGGGATTGGAGCTCAGGAGCGTCAGGAAGGAGGCCCCAGCGAGGGGGTCCATTGCTCCTTCTTAAATGTGGGAGTGGCACTGCTGTTCAGCTTTCCCGGAGACTGTGGGTTAAGAACAGGTGTCTCGGGGCCCTGAGCTTGGGGAACAAGGCTGAGGTTTCTGGCCTCATGACGAAGGAGACAGGAAAACTGTGGGTGCTTGGATTTCTGCTGGGGCCGAGGCAGAATGGGCCCTCTAGTCCTCCCAGGGACCCCTGCTTTGGTCCCCAAATCAAAGCCACCATTCATCTTAGTGACCTGTGCCAGATAGCAGGACTTGGGAAGTGGGACTTTGGGGGCCAATGAGGGGAAATGGCACCATGGGATGGGAGGATGGGTGCACACCCGTGCCTGCAAATGTGTGCGTGTGTAAAGGCTTTCTCTCTCAGCCGGGAAAGGGATTCCTGGCTCCTGGTCCAGCCACCTCCCCCCTCCCTGTGCCCTCCCAGTTCACCCAGTACTTTCTCCCCACATGTGGAGGGCGGTGCCTTTGGCAGCTGTGCTCTAGGCCTTCTGGAGAGAGGTGGTCACAGAGCCGAAGTGGTGGCACAGTCCCCACCAGTCCTCCAACCCTGGCCAAAGGGTCTGGAAGTGACCTAGGGAGGGGCCTGCAGGGCCCTGAGCTGACCAGCTCTGGGGGATCTGGTCCGGGGAGCAGAGCCCTCATGGCGCCTTGAGAAGCCATGGGAGTGACCGAGGGCAAGCAGAGGGACCAAGATCTCATGGAAGCCGTTCTCTGTCCCCACGGAATCCCTGCTGCCCTGACTCCAATCGGAGACATACTGAGTGGCTGAGGGGTGGTTGGTGTGGCTTTCTGGGAGGGGAGACAGTAGGTGGTTCACCCAGACCCTCCTCCTAGTGATCTTGGGGGCTTCCTGTGACCCACGTCAGTCATTTTGAGCTCCTCCCGTGTCAAGGATCCCGGGCCGGGATACTCCCCTCCAGCCTGTGCTTGCTCTGTGGATCAACCGCCCCTCCTCGCCCCCTGCCCCTTCCTCCCCCCCCCCACCCCCCCCCCCCCCCGCTTCCTTACCACCAGCAGGCCCCAGAGCTAACACCTGCTCACTCAGGGCCCCCTCACCTCCCCGCTGAGTGGCCGCCTTTGCCGCAGCCTTTCCTCCCTCTTGCTCCCTCTCCCCATCCCAGACACATATCCAGATCCACAGGTCGATCCCAGCCAGACCCATGGATGGGTCCCCCTGAGGCCAGGCCATTAATGGTGGGCCGTGAGGCCTGCGCCCCCCCACCAGCCCTGCCGCATGGGGCGTCTGTGCTGCAGGAGCAGACGAGGAGCCTAACACACCGCTTAATTCCTGTGCCCGTCTAGCGCAGCAGCTGGCCCTCCTCCCGCCTAAAGGCCCCCTGTCCTCCAGGACGGTGCCACCTTACCCCCCCTTAAGCAACGGACTTCACTACACCTTTGTCTAACACCTTCCAAGTAAGAGCCTCGCCTGGCGTGCCCCTGGCCTAGTGCTGAGCATGCCCGCCCCTCACCCCTGCTGCTGAGATGATTGCTGTGCGCCTGCCCGTGCTTCCTTCCTTTGGCAAAGCGGCCGCTGGGGAGGCCGCCCTGGACGGGTAGGCAAGGGGGGGGACTGATGGTTTGGGGAAACTCCATCCTCAGTGGCTCCGATACAATGGAGACTGTAAGGTCCAAGGCCCTGGCGCTTAGAAATCTCAAGAGCTAAACCGCAGGCCGGAGAATGCCCCGCGGGCCCAGTGCAGGCCGCTAGGCTGGCCGGAGGCGGGGGGAGGCTGGGAAGGGAGAGTTAGATGGGCCCGTGCTGGGCTTTGGCCAAAGAAGTCGAAGAACTGGAGGATGGAAAAGTCCAGCTTACAGATGAGGAAACTGAGGCTCAGGGAACGGATGAGGGCTCCCTCCATGCCACACGGAATTGGCGTCTGAGCCAAGCCTAGTACATCCCGTGTCACGGGTGCGCCCCTTCGGTGACGTGAGCACTTTGGGATGGAGAGAAGGCAGGTCCCGGGGAGGCTGCCCAGGGCCATGGGAAATGGGCCTCAGCCATTCAGCGCTTTGAGTCCTCCCCATGTGAGCGCTTAGTGATGAGACGCCCTGTGGGGCCCTGGGCTGTGGGCGGAAGGCCCGCGTCTGGTCTTGTGAGTTGCTTCCCAGCCCCGTGGCCTCACCTGGTCACGGAGGGCTCAGAGCAAAAGTCTCAGCAGTCCTTTCCCTGCCACCCGTCTTGTGGGGTTTTCCCCTCTTTCCTTTATGTGTCCTCATGGTTAACACTGTTGAGTACCTGCTATGCTCCAGGCATTGTAAGCCTCTTCTCTGATCCACACAACAGCCCTATGAAGGTATCCGCCCCCATTTTACAGACGAGGAATCGAAGCTCAGGGGCCTGAGGGACGTGCCCAGGGAGTCGCAGCTGTGTCAGCGCCAGAACCCCTCAGTGCGGAGTCAGAGCCTTGGCTCTCCCGCAGCTCCCGGGGGCTCCCCGGGCCACCCCCAGCGGCTCCAGCTGTTTGGAGAAGGGTGCCTTGGGGGACAGAGAGGGTGTGCATAGGGGCGGGGCATTGCTTTCCGCAGGTGTCTGTCGGCCTGGGCCCTCCCCCAGCTTCAGAGCAGAGCCCACGAGCTTCCCCTCCCCCTGGTCTGGGGGTAGAAGGAAGAGGCAGGCAGCTCTCAGGGAAGAATGAAGAACCACCCGGGGGATGCTCAGTGGGTCCTGGTAAAGGCCGCAGGGCCTGCTGGGCCCAGGCAGGCTGTGTGTGGCTTTCCTGGAGCGCTGGGTGTGGCGCCTCCGCCCAGGCCATGCAGAGGCAGGGGACCGACTCTCCTCGCAGCTTCTGGTGCCCGTGGCTGTGAACAGGCCTTCCACGCTCCTGTCCGAGCGCACCCACATTTCCTGTTACCCTCACTGAAGCCTCGGGAGGGGGGCCTATGATCACCCTGGTTTTAGATGAACTATTAAGACTCATGGAGTCTGAGAGTGCTACCAAGTCGCTCAGGGAAGCTAGGGCAGGGCCAGAACTGGACCCCAGAGTGGTCTGCTCAGGCCTCTTACTCTCAGAGCAGGGACCCAGTTTAGGGACCAGGATGTGTCTGGCGAACTTCCTAGAAGTGGCAGGGGTTGGGGGAGAGTGGGGCCAAGCACCCCTGAGTCCTGGAAGCCGAGGGTCCCCCCGCCACAGCCGCCGCATTGCCTCCGCCTGCTGCTCTGCTGCTCTGCCTGTCTGTCTGTCATTCCGTGTCACGTGTGTGCGCAGACATGCCTGCTCCCCAGACGTGGGCCAGGGCCTGCCAGGTTCTCACGGTCTCCTGTGCTGTTTGCAGCCCAGGCAGCAACTGACCCGTAACCAGCGTGCGGAGGAGAGGCCTGCAGCCAGCGTTCCTGTGGAACCAGCTTGCTCCGAGAGAAGACTGAGTTTTCTTCCCCCAAGAAAACCCCTCCCGGCTGAGCAGGGGTTCTGGCTGGGGGAGGGGGCAGCCCACCAGATGGGGGTGTCCCCCACAGGGCTGGGTCCCCCACCCCCGCCCCGTGTTAGTTGACTCCTTTTGACATGACAGACGCACTTTTGATACACACTGTAAAATGCTGACACTGTATTTTAGAATCAGAATATATTTTCTAATGTTCACCTCAAGGGCTGAGTGGCCGGAAAGGCGAGGGTGCGGGGTGTGGGGGCTGCGAATGCAGATTCAGGTACTGTTGGGCGGTGGGTGTGGAGGGGGAGGAAGGCAGGGCAAAGCAGAGGCAAGTCCGACACCGATGAACTCAGGTGAAGGCTGGATCTGAGCAGGTGCTTCCAGTGGACTCTGCAGTCAGGGTCCTGGGCCTGCTCCTGGGAAAAGAGGGGCCCTGGGGCTGCAGAGCTCAGCTGTCCCCGACCTGGCCGATGACCGGCTCTGGAGTGGAAACTCCACCAGGATGGCACGTGGAGCCCAAGTCTGTGCCTTGGCCCTTGGGTTTGGTTTCAGGAAACAGTGAGTTCAAGAGTTTTGGCTCCCGCCCCCCCCCCCCCCCCATGAGGTTCTCTCGGCAAAGGGCCCTTCTCAGATAAAAAAAAAAAGTGGTTTGCTTTCATTTAAAAAGTATACTTTGAAATACAGAAAAGGTGAGAGGAAGCACCTTTTGTTGTATCGTAAGCAATAAACTCCACATTGGGTGGCATCTACCCAGCACTACTTGACTCCAGGCTAGGCTGGGGCGGAATCCAGGACCTTTGCTGGCTGCCCCTGGAGAACCTGAGTCAGCTTTCCCAGGACTCGGTGTGGTGGCCAGAGGGCTGGCAGTGTGCCCCACCGTCCCTGCTGGCTGCCAACCAGAGGGCACAATGGCAGGACCTTGACTTGACTTCCAGCCTCAGATGAGGAGGGGGCTGCCCAGCCAGGCGTAGAGTTGGTGGCCCTTTATTTAAGTCATGAGCTCATGACATTCTGCACCCAGAAAGCGATGTTTAAAGGAAAACACACAAACAAAAAACCCCATCCGGTGGAGCCACGCTTTAAATGAAAATTGGTCTTTGACTATGGTCAGAAAAAAACGTCTTGAATATATTTAGGAGTTGCCGTCTATTTTTAACTAACTCCATATGCTGCCAGTATCGACGTCATGCCAATTGCCAAAATAAGATTTTATTTTTGCCTTTATAAAGATTTTGTTGGAAAAATGAAATGAATATTTTGCAAGAAAAAGTTAATTTAAATAAAAGTGTAATGGTTTGCAAAAAAAAAAAAAATGTGATGTACAGATTAAAATATTAACCTGATACACTTTCTGCTTCTTGCTGGCTGTGTTCTCACGAGGGGCCTGGGTTAGTCTTTGGAAAATCCGCACTGTCAGCTCCTACTCCTGCTTGTGTTCATCTAAGGAAAGTTTCTCCCGCTGACAGCTCCTTGCTACTCGATGGACCTCGGAGGCCTGGGGGAAGAAGGCCTGTGCTCCTGGCCCAGCCGCTGCTCAAGGCGGCCCGCCCCCACCCCACCCCACCCCTGTGGACTCCGTGTGGGGCTGGCTTGGCAGGCAGACTGCAATCCAAGATAGCAGGAGGGACTCCACCGGCTCCCTTCCAACCCACACACCGCCCGCCCGCGCGGCCCAATGAGGTGGGTTAGTGAAGGGCCTTTGCAGAGTGGATTTGTATTGAATTCCTTTTGACTTGCGATATATGCTTAAAACAGAAGGCAAGAGGCCAGTTGCGTTTAGGGACGTGTGTATTTCCAAGTTTGTTGTAATGGCAGTTTTTCTCTCTTGCCAAGAAGAGCACCTGTGGTTTAGAGTGACTTTCCAGCTATTTAAGGGGGGCGGGGGGGGGGGGTCGACTACACTCCAAGGCATTCTGAACAGGGGACACTGCCCGTCTTTTAGCTACTGATCTCTTTCTGAGTTTTACAATAAAAACCCTCTCCTATTTAAGCATTTCTTAGAGATATTTCCATAATAGAGAAATGGGATTTGCAGGAGGATTCCTCCAGGACAGCGAGCACAGGAAAAATAAAAGGTACTGGGTGCCATGCCCCCCACATGGTGAGAGCAGGTCAGGGTTTCCTTACTGTTGGTCTCACACCCAGTCCTCTGTGAGGGGGAACGTGGCCACTCTCACTGTTCTCTCCAGCTCCCGCAGGAAGGAGGTGTAGACTTCTCTGAGAAGCATGGTCCACATTTCAACCTGCAGAGAGCATGATGGGCCCCCAACTCAGGCTGCATGCAGAGCTCACATTGCATCCGGGGGCAGCAGGCAGCAGGCCCAGCCCCCGTGCAAGGACTCTGGCTTCCTGAGGTAAGAGGGGGCCATTTGGGGAAGTGCTGGCTGACCAGGGGCCCTCCCATGGGGACAACCCTGGGAAAGTCCACGTGGCCAGTTTCGCTTTTTTAAAAAAATATATAAAGTTTTATTGATTTCAGAGAGGAAGGGATTGAGAGAGAAAGAAACATCAACGATGAGGGATTGGCTGCCTCCTGCACACCCCCGACTGGGGATCGAGCCCACAACCCAGGCATGTGCCCTGTCCAGGAATTGAATCGTGACCTCCTGGTTTACAGGTTGATGCTCAACCACTGAGCCATGCCAGCCAGGTGAGGTTGGCCTCTTTAGCTGGGACACAGCGCCCCAGCAGTTTTAATGATGCGGTTGCAGTTGATGAAGGGGGTACCTGCATCTGCTTGTTGACATCTGAGTTTTAACTTCAACCCGGGCCCAGATTGAGAACCAAAAGAACATTTTAGGATCCAGTCGGAAATATGGGGGCTGGGAATAAAAGCTTTTCCTGATCCCCAGTGGAGCCTCCTGACCACCTAGATTCTCCGCATGCCCAGGCTCTGTTTCAGTGACTAGAGCTCAGGCGGGTGCACATTTGTGAGTGCACGTGAGACGGATGCTGAAAACAAGCATCTGTTCCCGTCATTAACTCCGTGTTTGGTTGTGGGATGGAAACTGCCCCCAGCCCCTTCCCCCTTCACTGTCTTCCGTTAAGCTGGGTTCTGCAGAATCTTCCTAGCCGTTGTAGGTTGCAGCCAAGGCCAGGGAACCCTCTGTCTGCCCCAGGTCAGCTCAGGGTGGAAGGCGAGGAGGATGGAGTGGATGCGGAGCCTGACTCAGCCAGATGAGGGCCCATTTTGGGCTTTGAACGTTTCCCCCGATTCTGGCACAGTGCTCCATGACATGGCCGTTTTTGGTGGGCACCAGGGGTGGGAAAGAAGCAGCCAATTATTCGTCCAACCTACAAATCACATTTCTGAGACATGGCAGGCAAATGCTGGGAGCCCCCTGCTTCCGATTCAGTGTCAGATGCCGGGACTCGCGAGGGACTTTGCCCACGTGAGTTTTGTGCTGTTATGAAAAGAACAAAGAGATGAAGCTGGGGGTGGGGGCGTGTGTGTCAAAAACGGCAGCCCCTCCCGGCCCAGTAAACATGCCATTGCTTGGCCGCCTCCACTCCAAAGGCGACCACTTTTATTGCTCTCCGAGCAAAGAAACCTTTCTTCAGCATGAGTGGCGGGGTACAAAGGCAGAGTACAAAACGTGCGCACATCAGAGTCCCCGCAATTCCGTTTGAACAGGCATATTGATTGGGTCTGACCCTGTTACATTTCCCTCTATTATTTGAAAAGGTGCATCTAAGTGTAGTGAATTGAACCAGCAGAGCTGAACTTTCCATGAGAACTTCTCGAGGTATTTCTTTAGTTCAAAGCTTTTGAATTTTAAAGGGCATTTTTAATATGGGTCTGTTGAGTATTCTCTGCCGCAGCCCAACAAGGGATGTTCAGTGCAGATGAGGCTGGAGGGTGGGGGTGGACTCGCCCGCCTGGCGGAGGCCGTGGGTCGTGGTTTTGGGGTGAGGACCAGCCAGGAAGGGCTGTGCTTTGGGGTGGAGGCTGAGCCCCGCTGTGGAGCCGCACACACAAGGGTCCTCTCTCAGCTCTGGGGACAGCGTAGGGGACAGGGAAGAGGCTTTTGTGGAAAGCAGGGAAGGATTTGCTAGGGGCTCCGTGGAATGGATGAGGGTTTCGTCTTCAGGAACAAGGGGCTCCTCACTTCTCCGTGGCTCACTGTCTCTCACACTGTGCTTTAGAAGCTTAGAAGTGTGCTTCCCTGGCCTGGGGCTGCAACCTACAACATGAGAGCAGGAAGGAGAGGCCAGTCCCTTGGCTGAGGTCACGGAGTCAACAGGAAGCTGCCACTGTCCACGGCCCCTGGCCTGACGTCACTAATCAGCCCCAGATGCTTTCCCGCCGAGCCCTGAGCTGCATTCCAGTCCTTAACCGATTCGGCATCTCAGACATTTCGCTGGTTGTGTGGTCCGTCGCAGTGGTCCCTCTCGCCACCCTGGCCCGGGGCCCTGGAACATCCGCAGAGGCTCGTTTTCCGCACATGCAGAGGGGCTGTCCCGGCCCACCGAAGGCACACAGCCCGGGTGGACTAAGTTTCTGGCTCCTGTGGGTCCCAGTCTGTTTGCCTTCAGAGGCTTCTTGGATCTAGAAACCACCTCCTTCTCAGACCCAGCATCTGGGTTGAGAGATCGCACGGTCACTGGGAGGAGCTGGGAAATTGGGTCCTGTGCCGAGAAAACCAGGGTGTAGGCATCTCGGCAAAACCCTCCCCGTGTTCTGGCCAAAGCTGCAGCCTGGAAGACGGGCCTGGGGAGGGCTTATTCTCGGGACAGAATAAGACAGCACGGCCCCTTCGGTGTCTCCTTTGCATGTGATCTTGGCTGGCACCATGGAAAGGAGGCAGCCAGGAGGCGGAGGTGATGAGCGCGGACCCTGGAGCCAGGCTGCTGGGATCTAATTCTGGTGCCATTTTGCCAGCCCTGTGACCCTGGGAAAGTTACTTCACCTCTCCATGCCTCACCTGCAAAATAGGGATTTATATTAGCAACTACCTAGGGGAGCTGTTATGAGGGTTCAATGAGTTATTACATAGAAAATGCTAAGCATGGCTCCTGGCCCCACAGGAAGCACTGGCAAAAGTACACATATTCGCTATCATTTACCTGCTTTTAAGTTCTAATCATTGGATGCCTGCCTTACTCTTCTTCTTTATGATTGCCGTCTCCCTCAGAAGAATATAAACTTCATGAGAACGAGAACGTTGCTTTGTTCATTATATTACCTCTAGTGCCCGGAACAATGTTTGCCACAAAGAAGGCACTAAGAAATAACTTGTTGAATGAATGCAAGGAGTCAAGGCCTGTGGGCCGGGGAGCCTTCTCGCTTCTCCAGGTGACTTTGCTGACCTCTGCTCTGCTGTTCCACGTTTTATACTCTAGCCCAGCGATTTTCAACTGGTGTGCCGCAAGAATTTTTAAAACATGCGATACCTGACTATTTAGTCAGGGGCTCTGACCTCTTTTCCCTTAGATTGTCAAATAAAACTTTAAAAATGACAACAGCCAACCGGTGTGAATGAATCAAAATTATACCTATATGTTTGGTCAGAATTTTAGTCATTAGTTTATGTGTACCGTGAGAGGAAAAAGGTTGAAAATCGTTGCTCTCGGCCCCTGGGAGCATCCCTATGCCTATTTCTAAGTTTCTTGAGAAGTAGCTAAGAACAGGGATTGTGGAATTCAAACCCACCCTCATGAACACTGACCGTGGGCAAGTCACGGAGCCTCCCGAAGCATGAGTTTCCTGCTCTGAAAGGTGGAATAACAGTATCTCCTTCCATGTGTGATTTGAGGGCGAACTGAGGTCATCCTTAGGCACTGACCTGGCATGGAGCAGTCACCGACCACCACTGTGCTGGTTTGCCCTCAGGTATGAACCTTACTATGAGCCCAGGGCCCCAGGGGCTTCTTCCACAGTTAAACCCTGTCTTCTTTACCTGCCTCGGCAGGATGAACAGGTTTAGGGTCTGCTACCCTCTGCCATCTGCCTGCCATTTTAGACAGTTGCCTGCAGCAAGCGAAGCAGTGGCTGCGCTTTTGAAGTTGGGGTTCGCAGGGCCGTGCCACTGCCAGGCTGCTTCCCTGAACCCTCCGGGGGCCGGAGGACAGGCGACTCCTCTGAGGCCTCCCCGCAGCCTGCAGCCGCCCGTGGGCTGTCCGACCCGCCTGTGCGCCCCCTTTGATGTCAGCTCCCAAACCGGAGCCCCGCGCCGGCTCTGAGGCCCTGGCTTTGAAGTCGGCCTATACACGGAGGTTCAGGAGGAGAGTCGTCTGCCGTGCCTCGGAGCACGGCTGGGCCTGTAAAGGCAAGCGGAGTGCCGCCAACACCTGATAAATAATTCTTTCTGGGCCCAAGAAAGATGCATTCCATTTAAAGGAGAGGAAAATTCCCTTGACCTTTCCATTGAAGTTCGGATGGAGGGAGGTGGTAAGAGAGGGTTTTCACGTCTTCTCACTGAAGTCATATGGGGCAGGGCGGTTGTCTCTGAGAGCCGAGCTCCAGCGACTGCTCCAAAAGGGCTCCCTGCACCTGACTCCTGACCGGGGCCCAGCAGCCAGCCCTGGTGACCCTCACACTCACCTCCTGCAATGACTGCAGGAGGCTGGGTCCTGTCTCAGCCCCTCCAGGCCAAACCCTGCTGCAAACAGGGCTTCCAGGAGGCACAGCCCCACTGCCTTCCTTTCTTTCCAGTGCTTGGCACCATCAAGAGGTGAGGCAGACAGGAGCTCCCACTGGAAGGGGTCCCAAAAGTGGACACTGGCTCACATATAGCCAGCGCTCCCCCAGGCCAGCCCCTTGGTCTGCCTTTGTGCGTGGCTGGATAATAGGATGTGGGTTTGTGTGTAGGTTTGTGAAATCTCTCCTTATGGTGAAATGTAACATACATATAGAAGGTACACAAAATAACAATGTTCTGCCCCGTAAATGATCAGAAATAAAAACACCTGTCTAACCCCCACCTCAGTCAAGAAGTTGCCGGGAGCTGTGGCCATACCTATGCCTCTTCGGAAGCACTCGGCTTTCCCACAAAGGATAACCACTCTTCTGACTTCTGTGGTAACCACCTGCTGGCCTTTCCTTTTTCTTTTTAACCCTTACCCAAGGATATTTTTGCATTGACTTTTAGAGAGTGGGAGAGGAGGGAAAGACAGAAACATCAATGTGAGAGACACACTTATTGGTTGTCTCCCGCACGTGCCCCGATCACGGCAGTATGTGCCCTTGACCAGAATCGAACCCAGGACCCCTTGGTCCGCAGGCCTACGCTCTATCCACTGAGCCAAACTGGCTAGGGCTAGCCTTTTCTTTATGGTTTCACTGTGGAAGCAGGCATCACCAAATACTGTAGCTTAGTTTTGTTTATTTTCTGAAATGAGTACGAATGAAAAAATAAAGAATGCATTCCTTTGTCTAGCTTTTTTTTCACTAAACATTATGATGTGATACCCATCCATGTAACTACGTTTCGCTTATTTTGTTGTATCCATTGAAGGCATATTCAACAATCATTTATCCATTCTACTATCGAAGGACATGTGGGTGTTTCCAGTTGGGAGCTATTACAAATAAATGATGCTGTCAACATTTATATACATGTCTCTTCGGGTATGTGAACTCTATTTCTTTTGGAATATACCTAGACATAGAGGTGCTAGTTCATAAGATAAACGTATCTTCAATTTAGGAAGAAAATGCCACTGTTTTCCAAAGCAGTAGTACTACTCTGTACTCCTACCCTCAATATATGAATTACTCCATATCCTCCTGTGGTGCAGCCTCCCAGATGGTCCCCAATGACCCCATGAATAAGCCCTCCCCCCAAGTGTTCGCTTCTACTGAATAGAATATAACGGAATACAACAGGATGCCACTTTCAAGATGAGGTGACAAGACTGTAGCTTCTGTCTTGGGCATCCTCCCTTGCTTACTGTGAGGAGTCATGTTGTGAGTTAATCTATGAAGATGCCCCCAGGGAAGGAACTGACATCTCTGACCAACAGCCTCAGAGCACCTGAGAGCTGAGAGGGAGCTTGGAAGTGGGGTCTCCTCCACGTTGAACTTTGAGATGATTGCAGACCTGGCTGACACCTTGATTAGTTTGTAGACAGCCTTGGCCAGAGGCACCCAGCTAAGCCCAGATTCCCAACTCACAGAAACTATGAGATAAATGTTTGTTTCCTTAAGATGCTAACTTTAGGGGTAATTTGTTACCCAGCAATAGATAATATATGCAAAAAACCTTTCTTAAGGCATTTTGATGTGTATGATACAGGTGTATTAGCATCTCCCTTATTAGTGACATTGAACATTTTTTCAAATGTTCATTGACCATCTGGATTTCCTTTTTTGTGACGTGCCGGTCAAATCTCATCTTCTTCTATTGGGTCGTGTATCTTTGTCTTGCTGATTTGTAGGGATTCTGGGTATAAGCCTGTCAGCCTGGGTTGCCCGTAGAACACAGCCACAGGGGCAGGGCCTTGCAGTAGATAGTATATTTGGGAAATGACTCTGTGGAACAGAAGCGGAAACAAAAGGAGGGGAAAACAGTAGAAAGGTAACTTCTCGAGCTGGTGACCACTGTTGTTTGAAACTTGGGGCTCAGTCTCACTGAGACTTGAAGAGCCATGTAAAAGCACCTCAAAATTACTCACCCGAGGTATGAAAGAAGAGCATGTATCCTCTAGCTCAGGGTCTCCAATGACCAAAGGTTCCCTGTCAGCATGTTAAGTTCCTCAGGTCCCCAGATCCCACATGTATGAGAGACTCCCATAGGAACCCCACCCTGGGGCAGCTAAGAAGCCTTGGGGCATCCAATGAGAGGTGTAGCTAGAGATCCCGCAGCAGGAACAGCCAGAGGACAATGGGGTGGAGAGGATGTGCAGAGGAACAAGCGTAGGGAAAGCAGTTTTGTGCTTTAGAACAAAAGAATATGGAGTCTTTGGGGGTCTCTTGGTCTCTCTCTCGCTCTCTCTCTCTCTCACACACACACACACACACACACACACACACACACACACACACTCTCACTCACACATTACACACATTCCTTCCTCCCCTCTTCCCTGGTCTGGCTAATCTTCAGGCAGAAAGTTAACCCTAGTTCCTCAGAACCCACCCTCACTGGAGTGGCCTCTGTTTTTATTTTTTTCTCACAAGGTTTTTTCTAACCTCTAAACCAGCAGTCGGACATCCCCAAAGGGTCCCGGATTGCGAGAGGGTGCAAGCCAGGCTGTGGGACCCCTACCCCCCAATGCATGAATTTTATGCACTGGGCCTCTAGTGTTTAACATAACAGTCCTTTAGAAAACGGCCTCACATAATTTGGAAAGATGGGCAGGCAAAATGTCTCCATACAAAAGCCTTAGGAGGCAACATCTTGGTGCTGATGATGGCACAAGAGGCAGCATCTTCAGTAGGTGCAAGTTAGGGTCCTTCCAGCTCCGGGGGACAGTGAAGTGTCAGATATTGGAGGAAACAGGGAAGGCACTGCTTGATAACTGCGGTGGTCCACCTTGGGAGGAGCATGCCGGAAGCACTCCTGTGGTTTTTCCTGTTGCCAGGAGTAACTGGGACACCTTCTGAGAGTGGGAGAAAGGCTGCCGTGAAAGGAGAGGTAGTTTTCAGGGGGGGTCAATTTAGGAAGAAGTACAGTAACTGCCCCCTTAACTACAGTTTCACTTTCTGTCATTTCAGTTTCCCACGGTCAACCAGTCTGAAAATATTAAATGAGAAATCCCAGAGGTAATTCCTAAGTTCTAAATAGCATCCTGTTCCGAGTAGCACAATGAAATCTCAAGCCATCCCGCTCTGTCCTGCTTGGGATGTGAACCGTCCCTTTGTCCACCATATCCACCCTGTATATGCTACTTGCCCGATAGTCATGCCATAGCTATCTTGGTTACCAGGTCAACTGACGTGTTCAGTGTTCAGGCAACCCTTATAGTAGCTAAATGCTGTCACAATGCCTACAGCGTTAACCTTACTTCATTGTATCATCCTACCTCATCACAAGAAGGGTAAGTACAGCATAATATTTTTATTACAGTATATTGTTACAATAGTTGTTTTATTAACCTTACTGTGCCTAATGTGTAAACTATACAATAAATATGTATGTATAGGAAAAACACACATTATACATAGGGTTTAGTACTATATATAGTTTCAGGCATCCACTGGCAGCCTTGGGACATATCCCCCACAGATAAGGTGGGGGGAGTAGTGTGTATATAAATATATAGGGTTGGGAAATTGATTCTGTAGAACCCCTTATTTACCAGGAGTGTATATTCATTTGAAGACTACTGGTTAACAATGGCAAGTAACAGGCCAAGCAAGGAATGAAGTGAAAAAAAATACCTGTTTAAGGAAAATGGAATCATCGATGTGATGAAAGTAGTTTTCAATGCAGTTATATCAAAGTTGGGTGAAACCATATTGAAGTAACTGAGGAGGGAAGGGATGGCAGTGAGTAAATAGAGGCAGTAATAGAAACAAGTTATTAAAATTGGATGTAGAATGTGTGGAATTAAGATTATAGCTGAAGTACATGATATCCAGGAACAATCTTTTTTTAAAAAGATGTGAAATCTTTTGGAGTATAAATGCAGACAGAAAAGGGAGGGTTCAATAGATTAAGGGAGGGGTTGAAGGCTCAAAAGCAGATAATCAAAAGCTTTAGGTTCACAAGATGTAAAGGATTAGCAGTAGCTAGCATTTATTGAGCACTTATTAACTACTGGTATGCTAAAGCTTCTTACCTGTTTTATCTAATTCTCACAGTAACCATCTAGGGTGGTTGCTATTGCTACACTCATTTTACAGCCAGGGACTAGGGCTTCAGGCCTATTTAGATCCAAGGTCACTCAGTTTATCAGCTAAGGTGGTAGAACTGGGATGTGACCTGGAGTAGTGAGACTTTTCCATGGCTGTGGATTTAGGTGGACATTCAGAGACCATCTGCCTGATAAAAATCTCTATTTCTTATGTAAGCTGGAAGGCAAAGACATGTTAAGAGGGAAGGAGAAAAGAGAGGGTCATTGATGCCAGACAAGTTTGCGAACAGAGGTTTTAAAATGTTATTTAGGAGAATGGGAAAAGAGTTTGACTAGAGAAAACACCAATGCAGTGTTGAGATCAATTAACATTAACTTTTAGTTAATACTGATTTGTGCATTTGGTGTTTTTCTCTAGAAATAATCTGTAGAGGATTAGCTATTTCAAGGGATTTTCCAGGAAGGCATCACATAGGGAAGGGTTATTTGGGATACTGACAACAGTGATATGAAATGATAGATCAATTGAAAATTTAAACAGGGCTTATGAGACAGGTGTAGATGGATAATAACCTGACTTGACTGTGTAAAGAAATAGAGCTGTTATGGTCAGAGGTGAATTTCTAAATTTGAGATTTCGGAGATAAAGTTGTTTTGGATATTTAAAGTACCTAGGAGACAGTAATGCAACTAAAGCTCTGTTTGTAAATGGTCATTGATGTCAATCAGATATCTGAAAATTACTTCCTCAAAATTTACTGAAGGAATGTGATCTTCCTGCTCTCAAATGATCTTTATCCACAATGATCACTTCAGACTTTCTTCTGTACTGTCAATGCCTCCAGGTTTAAAAAATTCTAGATTTGGCCCTAGCTGGTTTGCTTCAGTGGCTAGAGCGTCGGCTTTCGGACTGAAGGGTCCTGGGTTCGATTCCAGTCAAGGGCACATGCCCAGGTTGCAGGTTCGATCCCCAGAAGGGGATGTGCAGGAGGCAGCTGATCAATGATTCTCTCTCATCATTGATGTTTCTATCTCTGTCTCACTTCCTCTCTGAAATCAATAAAACGAAATAAATTTTAAAAATTATTTAAAAAGTATAGATTTGAGGAGAGGAATTTAATATATTAATACACACAAAATTGAAATCTGTTCCTGAATAACTTTTCAATCAGAAGACAGTTACCCCACTTCCCAGCTTGCTCCTCTTGCTCCTTTGTCAACTCTGGGTCCCAGTCTTGGGTGGGCACAGGTGGGTAAACAGCATGCTGAGCCTCTTCTATTTAAACTACCCAGAGCTATCAGTAAATTCAACATCAGGTCCAGCCTTTTCGTTCAGCATTGCATACACACTTTTTGCTCATAATCCATTATAACCTGGTGGGACCAATGTTGTATATGCAACATGACTGAAACATGAAGCAGCACATGACTAGAGGATTTCTGAAAGAAAAATGTAACATTCTGAGGTGAGTCCAAGATGGCAGCATAGGACACTGAACTCGCCGTCTCCTAAGAACACAGTGAATATACAACTCTATATAAAGCAATTCTTCCCGAGAGCCAGCTGAGAACCAAGGGAAGAGCTTTCACACAACAATAAAGACCATGTATTTGTAAAGAAGGTTGGGCAAGAGCCATTCAGGAGCTGAGAGAACGCCTCAGCACCAGAGGAACCGACAGCACCACTGTCTGTCTCCCCTGCACTTGCATAGTGGGTGGGGAGCCCTATCCAGTGTTCCTACATGGCCCCTGTATTGTCCCCAGCCACCCCTTCTGGAACTAACTGGAGGGTACCACAGCACGAGTGGACAGGGCCTCTCCACCCAGAAACTGATCCAGCAGGTACAAGGTACGGTTGCACACAGGGCTACTCCACCCAGAGAAGGAGAATCTAGTAGGGCGCTGCTGCTACAAGGTTGCCTCGCTCAGACCTAACTCTGGTAATAAAGCAACAGGGGGCAGCACACATACACCAGGTCAGAAGGACAAGGAAGTGCACACACATCAGGCTGTCCTGCCCTGATTCCATTCTGACCATGGGCAGCCAGAACAATAGGGAGCTACCACACACACGTGTACACCAGGGTGTCCTTACCGGACCCTGTTCCTGGTCCATGGCTCACCAGGTACTGCGTGCACCTGCCCCAACTTCAACCTGCTGGCACTGTCTACACAGTGGTCACTTCTATACAAGACTACTGTTTCAAGATTGGGAAAGCAATATATCTATCATCTAACTCATGGGGACAAAACAGAAAGTCAAATAGGGGAAGAATATGCCCCAAATGAAGGGACAAGAAACACTGGATAAAAACGCTAATGAAATGGATATAAGTAATTTGCCTGATAAAGAATCAAAGAAATGGTCATAGGATGCTCCACAAACTTGTGAATAGAGGAATTCAGAACTTCAGCAAAGAATTAGAAAATACAGGAGTGGGCAAAAGTAGACTTACAGTTTTAAGTGTGCAAAACAGTTTATTCTTGTACTAGAGGCCCGATGTACGCAATTTGTGCAAGGGGCTCGGCCCCCACCTGCCTAGGTGGCCATCTCTGCCTCAGCCCTCGCAGCCTCGGATTTGTCCAGAAGGATGCCTGGTCTAATTAGCATATTACACTTTTATTATATAGGATTATTTAGTAATTGTATTATTTTCCATACGAATAATTATAAGCCTACTTTTGCCCAGCCCTGCACAACAAAGATCAGACATGATGAATACAGTAACAGAAATGAAAACTATATTAGAAGGAATTAACAACAGGTCAGTTAATACACTACAGATTAGCAACCTGAAAGAATAATGGAAATCACTCATTCAGAAAAGCAAAAAAAAAAGGTGATAGTACAAGGGATGGATTGGATCTCTGGGACAAAATCAAGCCCTCTAATATTCACATAGTAAGGGTCCAAGAAGGAGAAAGGGGCAGAAAGTATATTTGAAGAAATAATGGCTAAAAACTTTCCTAATCTGGGTAAGGAAACATGATATCCAGGTCCCAGAATGGCAAAAGTTAAGGATAAAGAGACAATCTCATAGGCAGCAAGAGGGAAGCAAAAAATCACAAGGAAAACCCTCCAAGGCTGTATCACTTGATTTCTCAGCAGCAACTCTACAGGCCAAAGGGAGTGGCAGGAAATATTTTAAATGTTCAAAGAAAGGTTATCATTCAGAATTGAAGGAGAGCTGAAGAATTTCCCAGAAAAGCAAAAACTAAAGGAATTCATCACCACTAAAATGCCTTTATAAGAAATGTTAAAGGGGCTTCTTTCTACAGAAATGAAAAGGCCATAACCAGAAATAAGTTAATTGAGGAAATAAAAAAAAATCTCACTGTAAAGGCAACTATATGATAAACAATGAGTAAACCATTTTAAAAGCTAATATGAAGATCAAAAGAAAAAAGCAAAATTAACTATAATCTGTCAGGGGATACACAAAACAAAAAATAAACTATGATGTCAAGATTGTGAAATGTGGAAGGGGGAGTAAAAATGTAGTGCTTTTAAAGTGCATTTGAATTGAAATGTCTATCTGCTTAAAATAGAATTCTACATAATATATATGAGCCTAACAGTAACCACAAACCAAAAACCTAAAAAAAAAGCCCAAACAAAACATTGAAAAAAACCAGAAAACCAAGAATAAATCAAGAGAAGAAAAAAGGAACAAAGAAAAAGTACAAAAACAATCAATAAACACGTACCTATCAATAATTACTTTAGAGGACTTCCAGTCCAGATGGTGGATTAAAAAAAACACTGTGCTCACTTTCTCCCACAACCACATCAAAATTACAACTACTAATAAACCATCATTGACAACCACCTGAAGAGTAGTTGAACATTATTCCTATAACTAAGGATATAAAGAAGCCAATCAAGACTAGTGGGAAGGGCAGAACAGGCAAGTCCCACATCCATGGTGTGGTAATTAAGAATCAGGAGGGATATCTTGGCTGTGGAGGTCCTCACTGAGCAATGAGGGGTCCCAGCCCCACACCAGACTCCCTGACTTGGGGGCATCAGTACTGAAAAGAGGAGTCCCCATAACATCTGGCTGCAAAATTCAGAGAGAATGGTGTCAGATAAAGACAAAGCGCTGCTAGAGACCAAGCCGGTTCTTTTAAAGGGACCACACACACGCTCCCTTGCTCACAGACCACTCACTCTAGGCTCCAGTTAAGAGGCAGATGCTCAGAAAGTGCCAGGGATACAGGAGGAACTAAATTGACTAACTTCAGAGCAAGGGCTGGAGGGGCACAGTTAGGGGAAACTCCAGAGATGGAAGCACTGGCAGGCACCAAATCTGACCTCTTCATTAACCTGGCTAATACCATTTGCCTCGCCCTGGCGATTCCAAGACCCGATGCCACCCAACTTGCCTGCCTGGCCTAAGACTCCGCCACTGGCTCCTCCACCACACAAGTGGCCTGCCTCAGCTCATGCTACAGATTCCCCCAAACCACTCAAAGGTCCAGAAATGGCCAACAAGCAGCAGCCAGCCTTAGTGTGCCTTGTAGCTCTCGCTAAGCATCCCCAAGCCCAACACAAGCTGTGACTGGTCTCAACTTGCATTGTAATCCTATCAGCTGGCACCAAGCCTGGCATAAATGGCAGCCAGTCTTGGTCTGGAATATAGCTTCAGCTAAGTGACCACAAGCCTGGCACAGTGGCAGCTGGACTCAGTTCACATTGTGGTCCCCACCAAAGCCTGGAACAAGTGGCAGCCAGCCTCGGTTCGCAGCATAGCCTCTCCCAAGTTCTTCCAAGCCCAGCACAAATGGCAATCAACAGATCACTTTTTAGCTCCTACCAAGAGGCCCCAAGCCAGGCACAAGTGGTTAGCTGACCTTGGCCTAAACCAGAGAGCCCCCCTCCAACCCTCAAAGAGGTTCCATATCAAACACACCCAGTGGCCAATTTCAGACCACACCAGAGCACCACCAACCAGCTCCACAAATGACACATCGAAGGTCAGACTCAGCTGGTACTAGAGCCCAGTTAAACTGACTCCTGTTCCATGGGGTCAGCCCCAATATAAAAGCCCATTTCCTATAGTTATAGCCAGTTCTCAGCCAGCCTGGGTCATCCCCACCCACTGACGTGCCAACGGCAATCGAGGCTCAACTACAACAGGTGAGCGCACAAAAGCCACACAGGGGACATCCCTAGAACACCCAGCTCGGTGATCAGGGAGATTGTGCCATTGGGTCCCCCAGGACAATTTCTACATAAGGCCACTACGTCAAGACCGGGATACATAGATCTACCTAATACATAAAACAAACACAGGGAGTCAGCAAAATGAGGAGAAAAAGGAACATTCCTCAAGTGAAAAAACAAAATAAAACAAAAAAAACCCCAAAAATCCACAAAAAGAACTAAAAAAATGGAGATAAGCAATCTATCACACAGAATTTAAAACATTTTATAAGGATGCTCAATGCACTTAGGATGGAACCATGAAATGGGAAAAAAAAGATTAGATGAAGTAGAGGACCAAATCAGCAATCTAGTAGACAAGGTAGTGGAAAACACCCAAATGGAACAGCAAAAAGAAAATGAAATTTTAAAAACTGAGAGTTTAAGGGGCCTCTGGTACAACCTGAAGTATAACAACATTTGCATCATAGGGGTACCAGAAGGAGAAGAGAGAAAACAAGGGATTGAAAAAATAATGGCTAAAAAATTCTCTAACCTGGTGGTACTCACATCAACAAATTGAGGGATAAAAATCACAACCATCTCAATAGGTAGAGAAAAGCATTTGACAAAATTCAACATCTCAGCAATGTGAGGCTAGAAGGAACTAACCTCAAAATAATAAAAGCTATATATGAGGGGGGGAAAGGAGACTCATGTAATACTTTAAACAATAAAATTTTTTTAAATAAAGCTATATATAAGCCCACAGCTAACATCATACTCAGTGGTGAAAAGCTGAAAGCTTTTTCTTTAAGATCAGGAAGAAGACAAGGATGT